GGTGGGGGATCAATTAAAATGATCCACCCCCAGAGACTTATGGATCCTGAAGGATTCCTGAATGCTCTAGGGGAGTTTCCAGCTGATATGGCCAGCGCTCCTGTTGAAGCCCAGGTCGCCTTGTGGTACAAGGAAATGGCCCGGATGGTTGACACGATCGCACCTAGGCGCCCTCTCCCTGCCCGCAGAGCCTATAAGACTCCATGGTACACAGAGGAGCTTTTGGCTATGAAACGGTTGGAGAGACGGCTTGAGCGCAGATGGAAGAAATATCGCTGTGACTATGACCAAACACAGCTTAGAGCCCATTATCGGGCCTACTCTGTGGCAATACGGCTGGCGAAACGCCAGTATTTCTCCCGCCGTATTGCTTCCTCGGTGTGTCGTCCAGCAGAGCTATTTCAAGTGGTCTGGGACCTTCTTCAACCTAATGGTTCAGTGGAGGTCCTGGACTCCTCAGTGGCTCGCTGTAACGAATTTGTTACACACTTTGAGGGGAAAATTGCTCAGATTCACAAAGATTTGGACTCCACTGTTGATGCAGAGCCTATGGTTGTATTCAGTGCTCCGGACTTATGTCATAATTTATTTATTGGATGAGTTCCAGTTGTTGCGACCTGAGGATGTGGACAGGGTGCTTGGATCGGTTCGTGCCATCACTACACAACTCGACCCTTGCCCATCATGGCTAATAAAGAAATCTGCCAGGGGAGTTTGCACCTGGGTCCTGGAGGTCATCAACTCCTCGTTAAGAGAGGGTGTGGTCCGTGTCCCATTAAAGGAGGCAGTGATCCGCTCACTCCTAAAAAAACCTAATCTGGACCCAGGTCTAGTGATCAACTATCGACCAATAACAAACCTTCCTTTTCTGGGCAAGGTGTTGGAACGTGTGGTGGCTGAGCAGCTCCAGACTGTCCTGGATGAAACGGATTATCTAGATCCATTTCAGTTGGGTTTCAGGCCGGGTTATGGGACGGAAACTGCCTTGGTTGCCCTGTTTGACGACCTTTGCCGGGAGAAAGGCAGGGGCAATAAATGTTGATTTCCCAGTTCAGCACTATGTTGGATCACTGGATGACCAGGACTAGCCCTTAAGTATGCAGTTGCCTGAAAGATGCACGTGCACACATTTTGTCGCACTTATCCCTTTGTGCCTAACCTAATGGACGTAGGGGGAAAGAAGGGTGAGAGGAATTAAGTTTCAGTTTATTCGCCCTCACCCAGTGACACCAGGCACTGATCTAGGTCTGAAATTGCTTCCTTGATTTAGATGGAAAGGAGAGCTAGAGCTAAACCCACATGATTTTTTCAAAAGGCAGTAGATTGGAACTTCGATATTTTAGATAGTCAAACCAGGTTTTTGTTTTTTCTGTTTTGTGCTTGGTTTGGTTTTCATTCTATATGTGGTACAGCAAAAGGGATTATGGAGATATATATTTATTTTTTGCCCTGTGTTTAATTGTTTGACAGTTGAAAGGTGACATGGCATGGCTGACATGCAGAGCTTGAAAAATACACTCGTCCATGTGTGTGATAAGTGAAAAACAATGCTCAACGAGCCTGCCCCCCCCTCTCATCCTGCAGTCCTCCCCTCCCCTTTCCCATTGCAAAAGGAAAATTGCCCTCTTCTCACAAGAAGAGAGTTCGAGGGGCACATAGAGATACAGTGGGGTCTCTACTTAAGAACGTCCCTACTTAAGAACAATCCAAATTAAGAACAGCTCCATTTGCTAAATTTTGCTTCTACTTGAGAACAGAAATCCAAGATAAGAACAGGAAAAAAACCTTTCCTGCTCTTTTTTTAACCTTAGGTCATCTTAGGTTAAAAAAAATTCTCCCCCTAGTGGTAGAGTACGTATTAACCAGCTTTGCATTAGTTCCTATGGGAACTAATGCTTCAATGTATGAACGCACCTCTACATAACAAAAAAACAGCCAGAACGGATTAATTGGTTTTCAGTCCATTCCTATGGGAAATTATGCTTCAACTTAAGAACGTTTCAACTTAAGAACACCATTCCAAAATGGATTAAGTTCTTAAGTAGAAGTTCCACTGTAGTTTCTATGGACGGAAAAGAGCAGATACGGATTAAACGGTTTTCAATGCATTCCTATGGGAAATGCAGATTCAACATAAGAACTTTTCAACTTGAGAACCACCTTCCAATACGGATTAAGTTCTTAAGTAGAGACCCCACTGTATAGCTCTGCAAGAGAGTGTAGAGTAGTCCCATGCTGGAGAATATGGAGATTCCCTGCTCCCAATTTCAACCGAACGAGGACACATCCTGGGGTGGGAGGGAACCTTGGCTCTTAAGAGGCCGGGTACTTTTGCTTTCAGTTTAATTTTTCTGGAGACATTCAAAAGAAAGGCATTCAAAACACAATCTTCATGACCCCACAGGCACGCAGGTAATAAAGCAATCCAAATCTGAGGGTACAAATCAGTGATTCCTGTGTATGTAATGCAGTTTATTTTGGGTTTGTATGCATTGTTACATAGAAACAAAAGTGAACAAGTGCCTAGTTTAAATTTGATGATATAAATTGCAAGGCTATAGTCCGGTCATGCTGACTGGTGAGATATTTTAAAAATTTTCAAGCCCTGCTGATGTGCCATACTTTTTCTTGTACAGTACTAAACTGTCAGCTAAGCTGCCAGATTCTGGTTTTTTTGAGCAGTACAGAACAAGAGTGTTGTTGCATTTGTGACTAATGCTTGCCTAATTTTAAATAAATAAAATTTCTGTTGTATGCTATGCGGGCTGTACTCTGTGTGCACACTTGTGTGTTAGAAGAGAACATGGGGGAGACATGAAAGGTATTGACCAAAATATTAATTCACAGTAGAGAGTATGTTATATAAACTTTCATTCTGCCAAATTATATAGGCTTTTCACCATTTTCAAAGCAGTATTTTATATTGTAACATATATCATGTTAGGTTGCCAACTTCTTTAAGTGAGCTGTGTAAATTGTTAAAATGTTCATGTACTGGTATTGCAGTGTACATACACTTTTGAAATAAATTAATACGATAAATTCAAGGGAAATCGGGCTGTTCACAGTTAATATAATCAAATATCACCTTATGTTTTAAGGTAAATACTAGCTTACAGAACATGTGTATTAACCATGCTGCTTCTTTGCTTGTAATAGCAAAAACTCGTGCAGCTGACCTACTGGTGAATCCACTTGATCCAAGAAATGCAGATAAAATTAGAGTTAAAATTGCTGACCTGGGAAACGCTTGCTGGGTGGTAAGTATCACTGATTTTTAATGACTGGAATCCTATTGGTGTTCATATGTTTTGTGTAAGTTACATCAGCTAATTGCAACAAATTAACAAGTTGCTGAGGCACATCTAAGTTGCATAATTCAGTGTATGACCAGGCATATTACTGAGACATGTCCTGCACTTTGCCAAGTTAGCCACAATTAGCCATGGCAAGTTGTGCAAGCCTCACACAATTCTGGCCAATGTTTTATGAGTTTGATACTTGATGTAGCACCTTGATCCTAGTGCTTTCTATTCAATACTTTCTTTTCAATTTTTAGCATAAACATTTCACAGAAGACATCCAGACACGACAATATAGATCAATAGAGGTTTTAATAGGAGCAGGTTACAGCACACCTGCTGATATCTGGAGCACAGCATGCATGGTAAGAACAAGTCTACACTGAATCACAGATACAGTGACATTAGTTGGGTTTCTGGCCAATATTGTTTTTAAAAATTCGTACTTCTGATGGTAATTGAGTAAATGATTACAATTGTGTATTGCAGATTTCTTATATTCTGAGGCTTTCACTAACATCCACAGAGATGCTTCGGTGTAGCTAAAGCAAGGGTGGAAATTGCATAGTCCACAGATTGCATGCAATACCCAAACCATGTTTCTGTCTCTCAAATCCCCTCTCCCATCCCTTGTCTTTTTAAAAATAAAATAAAATAAAAGAATCATACCTCTGTAAGCCTCTGGGGTCACAGTTCTTTTGTAAAACAATCGCTTCCCTTTCCCATATTCTGTTGTACTCCAAGAAGGTGGAACCAACCTGCATCTATTTAGAATTTTGCTGGAAGTAGCTGGCATGACCCATGGAAGGTCCACAAGCTGAGAGGAAATGCTTCCTTGCCCCACCAAAATTGCCTGTCTCTGGCCCAGTGAAATATTTTTAATGTTTTTCTTTGAATAGCTGATTCTCTCTCCTTACTCCTCTTTCACTTTTGCTTATGTTAAGTTCTAATGTAGATATGATGTAATAAGTCATGCGGTTAACATTATTCAGCTATACTTCATGCAGCAGCATTATTCAGCTATAAATACTGTACATTTCATCAGATATGTTTTACTTCAGTCCACCTACTGTTCCACACATAGAGATCCCTGTGGTTTTTGTGTGCCTTGTAATGTACAGTGTAATGGGTAATTATGTGAGTGGATTTGTTACTGTATTTGGGTTTACCAAGCTAGACTTAAGATTTTCCAGTGGTGTTGGGCCTTCTCAGATTTTTGTTAATGCTGTTTTCTAATCATCCTTCATTGTTAACTTGGAGTGGTGTCATTAAAAACTCTTTACATGTGTGTGAAGAGCAATGAAAAAGGGAAATCTGAAAACTGTGTACAGAATCTGCCTTCCAGAATTTACCAGCATATTAGTTGACCTACTGTTCAGTAGCATGGATCGAGTAAGATACGCCTGGAAGGGCTTTTAGGCAAGATGTGCTGCAGGAACTGCAAGGGGATAGGCTCATTTATTATTCTGTAATGGGATTGTGACATTGCCCTTTCACTCTGAGGGGATGTTTTCAGTGAAGCATCAAAAATAGCTATTTAAAAAATTGAAATATCTTCCGTAGTGGATATTTTGGCAGGCTCTGAGGGAATAATGAATTGCTGTTGCATAAAATTCCACTCTTGATTTCCTGCTAGCAGTCCACAGAGAAGGAGGACTGTGATAGATTTAGCAGTGTTCCCTTTTCTACCAGTGTAGGGCTATGGAACAACATTCTGGGCTGATACTGTGTTATATGTGTATGGTGATTAGTGATATACATGCAACCTTAGATTTTGGGATGGAGTTTTGGAATTGTTCTTATTTGTTTTTATTGAGACTATTTTTCTATGTAGTCTGTCTTCACATTATTCATTTGTATACTCTGTTACAAAGAAAATTTTCAGCAAAAATATTTTTAAAAGAGGCAAAGCTTCATAACAAAAAGCTTTATGAATTGAACATGGGATAGTTGTAGTCCTAATCATGACTCTGAGTTTTGGGAGTGGGATTGTGCTATTAGATTGTGTCTGCCTTTCCTCTCTCCTAAGCTTTCCTTATCACCATGAAGAGTGTGCTTCACCATGAAATTTGCCCGTATTACAGGTTCCTTCACATAAACCATAGAGTAAGCATTACTGTTTCGATAGTTCACAAACTACTACTTGGTCTGTAACAATGCCAGGGGTATTGCGGCATCAGGGACATCCTTTTTTGTTTAATGTATTTCATAGTAGTATAATGTGGACAGCATCCCTAAAACCTTATTTAATAATTGCAAGGCCAAATAGTGTAAGATATGTGGACAATAAATAGATTTTTCCACTAAGAAGGAGCAAAGTTTAACTGAACTGCCTGTGCTTTCATTATAAAGATTTGTGAGGTATCAGAGGATGTATGTGTATACATATGGACTTGAATTTTCTGTTGTTACCTTGTTGTAAATATTCTCTGTGTGTCGATGACCAAAGCAGAAAACAGTCTCTCTTCATTCTCATATTGAGGAATATTATTTTCTGCACCAGTAAAACAGAATTGTGGCTGAATTTGTCAAAAAAATACACCGAAACAGTCCCGCCATTGACTGGCTCCCTATTATATTAATATTTTATCAAGCTGTATTTTGTTCATTAGAGAGAGACATAAAAGAAGGGTTCCATTGGGAAGAGGACTGAGCAAGTGTTGGATGGTATGTCATTACACCAGCAGGAAATCCGTGGTGTGTAGGAATCCTCGACACAGCTGCCAGGAGTTTGGCTAGAGAATGAGGACTGTGATTCTGTTGCTGGTCTTTGTTTAGACTATCTAGATCAGAGCCAGGGCAAGTGATCCCAGCTTCTCCATCAAACTCTTATTGTCTCATTGTGCTTTCATAGATGTTTGGGGGGGACAGACAGCCACTATACACTGCTTCATTAGTATGTCTTTTTGTATAGATGCATTATGGCACAGATAATTCTTCAGAAAATTGAAGCAGCAACTTACAAAAATGCTACATTTTAAAAGCAGTTTTCAGAGTGATCAGGGCATACAGTTTTAGAGGACTTATTGAATCGTGTGGTTTCATTGCGTTCTGATTGTGGCAATTATAGTCTTGTAGAAAGAAGAGACAAAGAGAGGGTAAAACTGAATGGCAAATTCAGGCCTGGAAAGAACATAAGCCAGAACACATGTCTCTATGTCTGTATTCATGATGGCACCAGTTACGCAGGTACCTAGGAGCCAGAAGTCCCAAGCGATTCTTGGATATTCTCAGTTTATGCAAGAATTAGCCTTTGCAAAGAAAACTGACTGCCGAGCAAGATTTTTAAAAGAGAGAGTTCAAAAATAATTGATATAGTGAACAAAGAAAAGCTTTTTATAACTAATCAAAAGTTTGAGTTTTTGCTAGTACTGTAAACTGATTCTTCTCCCCCATACATATTTATTTAAAAGTTACACAGTTTTCAATGCAGAATGTTACTTACAAATTGTACAGAAAATAGATTTAAGAACAAAGATATAAATGGATAAGATGCATGCATTTAGATTACCTTAAAAAATACTTATCCCTTGAATTGCACCGGTTCAAGCAGCAGTTTTGATTATTCACATATTTCTTTCAATAAATAAATATTCCAATAAATACTGTGCCCCTGGCCACCCAGAATCCTATGAGTTCATCACTGAAAGTGTCAAAGTGGTCTACTTGCAAAACACATCATCTCTAATTCAGCCTCTAGATCAGAGGTCAAAAGAACCTTTAAGGCTCATTACACACAGTATTGTATGGAAAGGATTGTCAATGCTGTGCAAGAGAACCTTGATAGAGAGAACTGCTCTGTGTGTATGTGTGTTATCAACTATTTATGCTTTGTACAGTAGCTTCATTTTGGGGGCATGAGTTATATTATACATGGATTTTTAACTGCATGGCAGTCTGGCGCCTCTAACCCCCGTGTTGTTGAAGGGGCAAGTGTATATATGCCACTCATTATAAAATTAGTTCTCAAAAGAAAATGAACATTAACCATTTGATCGTATGATCATCACATATTTATCCTTCCTTTTGTCTTGGCTAATGGCACAAGTTCTCCTAATTTTCTGTCCCTTATCTTACCTTGTTTCCCCATACTAATTGTTCATATGAAGCTAGCATCCAATGAGCCGTGGAACTCACTGGATGATCTTGGTTCAGTCACTCTCTCTCTTTAGCCTTCTTGATAAATTTGTAAAGAGAATATGGATGAGGGACAGTTATGCATATCATTTTGAGGTCAGAGAAAGAAAGATTGAGTATACATGTAATGAATCAATAAAATATTAGAAAATAGGATAATCTTGCTATACATTAGATTTTCTATAGAGGCAGATTCTCACTAAACTACCCTTCCCATAGAACACGAGAGTGTGCCTAAGAGGATGTTCCTTTCTGTTCTATAGCCAATATATGTGGAGAGAAGCACAGTATAGAGGTGGAAAGCATCTTATTTTCCTTTTGGTTTTTCCTCTCCCACATTTTGCTTGGCCCTTTCTGCATGAATTTTAGGGCTGAAAATCCTTGGACTCTGAAAATCCCATACTAGGTGGTAGTTACAAATTTGTTTCAGTGCCAAATAGTTGCAGCTTATATGTGATTGGGCTTGCCTCTTGTGGTACCATGAAACCTCTTGTTACTTATTTCATGTGTTTGTTCTGCTAGTTTCTCTTGTTACCCCCTAATGGTTCTATTAAATAATAAAGAGTAAATTCAGAATAATAAATAAATTAAATAAATAAATAATACTTTCAATGCAGTGCATTGCTATTTGCAAAAAAGTAAATGCCATAAGCAGTCGCATCAGTAAGAGTATGTTGTCCATCCAGATCAAAGGACATTAATAGTACCACTCTATTCTGCTTTGGTCAGACATCACTTGGAACATTTTATTTAGTTCTGGGATATTGAATGACTTTAGCTGAGAATGACCAGGATGGAAACCAGGCCATATGGGGAACAATTGAGACCACTGGGCATTTTTAGCCTGCAAAATACAGTGGGGTCTTGACTTGAGAACTTAATCCGTATTGGAAGGCAGTTCTCAAGTCGAAAAGTTCTCAAGTCAAATCTGCATTTCCCATAGGAATGCATTGAAAACCATTTGATCTGTATCTGCTCTTTTCCGTCCATAGAAACTAATGGGAAGCTGCTATTCCGCCTTCGACCACTAGAGGGGGAATATTTTGTTTCTTTTTTTCTTAGGTCAAGAAAGGTTTAGGGAAGGCAGGGAAAATACAGTCCAGGCAGTACAGTACCAGGCAGTCTGAAGACTGTCTCCCAATCCATTCTCTAAACGCTGAGAGGAGCGAGGAAGCAGACAGGCACCCTTTTCACTGGCCAACAGTTAACTGAAAGTTCAAATTTTGCCCTTTCCCTGCCTCCCACGTGGGTTTTTTTCAGTTCTTAACTCAAATCTAATTACTTAAGTCAAGTCAATATTTTCCTATGAGAGCGGTTCTTAAGTCAAAATGTTCTTAACTCGAGCCGTTCTTAAGTCAAGACCCCACTGTAGATTACTTGGAGGTGACATGATAGCCGTCTTCAAATATTTGAAGGGCTGTCACATGGAAAAGGAAGCAACCTTGTTCCCTGTAGCTCCAGAGGGTGGGACCCAAAATAAAGGATTCAAATTACTAGAAAGGAGATTTTGCTTAGACATTAGAAAGAACTTTCGTGATTGGGAGACCTATTGGACAGTGGATTAAACTGCCTTGGAAGTTGTGATGAGTACTCCATCATTGGAAGTTCTGAAATAGAATTTAGACAGCCACCTGCTTTAGCGATGATTGCCCTGCTGTGACAGGGGATTGGTCTCAGTGACCATTAGGATTTCTTCCATCTCTGCAATTCTATGACACACGTTTACTTTCTTGCATAAAGTTCTATGCGGGTGTGTTTTGTATAAAGGGGAAGGTTGCATGTGCTATATAGTGGTGCCCCGCTTGACGATGACCCTGCTTGACAACAAAATCGCTTATTGCAAAATGATGATTCCAGTAGGGTTTTTCGCTTGACGATGAATAGTTCCCTGCTTTGGGAACTGATTTTTCCCTTAACAACGATTTATAAACAGGTGATTGGCGGTTCGCAAAATGGCTCCCCACTGTTTTGCTGATCTATTTTTGCAAGACAGGGATTGGAAAATCGCCACCTTATGAAGGATCTTCGCAGGACGATCAGGTATTTGCCCCATTGCAACGCACTGACCGGTTTTCAATGCATTCCAATGGTTTTTTTCCCCGCTTGACAACAATTTCACTGTATAGCGATTTTGCTGGAACGCATTATCATCGTCAAGTGGGGCACCACTGTAATCCCTTTTGTGGAAGATACATTGGAGTCACTGTTGGGAGTGGTTGCATTTTTATAGAATAACCAGGAAGCCATATTGAAAACCTATTTTACTTTGTTTATTTGAAGAGAAGCAGGCTTGAGACAATGGATGAACTGAAACTCTTAATGCTTGTTGCCTGAACTGCCTTCCCCCCGGGTAGGTTGTATAGTATTTTTTGACAGAATGGTTCTGGCCAAAGAAATAACATTATACAATTTTGTCCTGTTCGTTGCGTTATACTGGGCAAGAGCAGAGCTTGAATCCAGCTTTTTGGGGTCTCGTTACTACTTTGAATCTCTTAACAGAGGTTACCGAGGACTAGGATCCAAAGAACATACACCTAGGTTATCTGATCAAAATAGATTTTAGGCCTATGTTCTTCTGAACAGCATCTTGTAATGAGACTTCCAAAAGGAGTCTGTGGTGGCCTGCTTTACAAAGAGATAGATGCTGTCCAATTCATGTTCAGATTCTTGGGTTTAGTGAAAAATGACATTTTAGAACTCAGCAATTGAATTCATCAACAAATTTTAATTTGCACTTTAAAGCAAGGCATTTGCTTGTTTAAATAATTCCTTCTAGAGTTGACAGAGTCCGTGCTCTTTTGACGGTATTATCATATTTGATGTCTTGTTTTATTCTAGGCATTTGAGCTAGCAACCGGTGATTATTTGTTTGAACCCCATTCCGGTGAAGATTATTCCAGAGATGAGGGTATGTATCTTTTTAATGTACAGCTATTGCCTGTGCATTTTTTATTTGCAGAGGATTGAGAAGAAGTGTACCATTTGTTTGAGTTTTTTTTCCAAGTGGACTATTAATGAAAATAATTTCATTTCAGAATATAAACATCACATTTTTTCCTCTTTAGTTTAAAGATCCGTCAGTAGCAGTAGGTGGGCTATCTTCTTTTACCCGACACCCTCTTCTTCTCTAAGCCTTGAAAGGCCAGTTTCCTGTCCTGTCCTGTAAGATCTGCATCTGTGTGTGTAAACACTGAAACACTACTGCATTTTAAAACAAAACTTGACACAGTGTGGATGCACCTTTTGATACAAGACTGGATATTTAGAATGCTGGGCCTTCATTCTGCTTGTGACTGCAGTTTACTAAATGAAAAGCAAAACAGCCAGAATTAACTCTTGCTTCCACCTGTGTTGCTGTCCATTTCCCATGCTTGTTTGCTCGCAACGTCCTTTTGCAGTCAACAATAATAACATGGGCATCCATCTTTTGTTTTTCTTCCTAAGTGCTACTAATGATGCCAGAATTCTGCTGGTCCTGGAAACCTCTGCATGGGTTTTCTGCAAACGTTGTGTTCAAAACTTTTTTGAATTTTTTTAACTAATTCCATTTTCTTTCCTCTTCTTTATCCCATCCTCTCCCTGCCCTTCCCATTCCTGTGCCCTTTTTTTCTCTCCTCCATAGACCACATAGCACACATCATAGAGCTGCTAGGCAATATCCCAAGGCACTTTGCTCTATCTGGAAAATATTCTCGGGAATTCTTCAATCGCAGAGGTAGTACCTCTTCTTTTTGAAAGGCACCGTGATGCAGACAGAAGTGGACTGGCAGCTGCTGGTTGTAACATGTGCACTAAAATATGTGCCCCAAAGAGATGAGGCGGACAATTTGGATTTGCAAAACAAATGAGAAAAGAGCCTTCAAAGACTGTCCATTTCATTTTGCAAATAGTGCAGTCCTCTCTTAATTTCTTTTTGTGAAATGAATCACTTTTCAAAATTACCTCGCCAGTAAATAATTCCTCTCATTCCCATTTAGCAGCAGTTTTGCCTCCTCCCCCGTTTTCAACAAGAAGCAATCTATTTCTGTCTGTACCGGGCCAACATTCATGTGTGCATGCAGTGTATTGATTAAACTGTTGTATGTTTCTGTTTTGCTGGAAATGTTCTCCAATGCAGATCACATAGCATTGATCATTGAACTGCTGGGGAAAATCCCTCGAAAATACGCTATGGTGGGGAAATATTCCAAGGAGTTTTTCACCAAAAAAGGTAACAGTGTTTCTGCCACCCTAATTAAACTGTAGCTCTTTCCAAAAGAAGACACTGAACACTTTTTAATGAAGAATCTTGATTTTTAAGAACATATTAGACAAGATGTGTATGTATGAATTTTCTGTTTTCCATTAATAGGAAATTTATTTTTGGAAATTGTGTTTGTTGACTTAGAAACCAAGAGTATTGAGCTTTTTGGGACAATAGTAGAAATCTAATAGTAAATTGCTACAAGAGTAGGCACAATTAATCAATAGAACCTAGAGGAGTTGACTCGTCAAATCTCAACTGACTCAGTGGATCAACTCTAGTTGTGATTTACTACTGGATTTCAGCCACTAAAGGTGGCTTGATTTCACTAAAGGTGAAATTAAGAACTCCACAGATGAGAAATGCCATCTATCTGCTCACATTTAATTTATTTCATCTAAAATCAATAAAAGAGAAACATTTATTTTTCTGGAAACACAAAAAAAGAAAATATTTAAAATGTCCACTTGTCTTCCTTTATTCTTGATTTAAATACAGTGGGGTCTCGACTTACGAACGGCTCGACATACGAACGTTTGGACTTACGAACCGCTCTCATAGGAATATATGGACTCGACTTATGAACTTAGATTCGAGTTACGAACTCTTTTCCCCCCTTTTTTTTAAAGCTAAGTCATCTTAGGTTAAAAGGAAAAAAGAAAAAAATTATCCCCCTCTAGTGGCAGAAGGTGGAATAGCAGCTTCCCATTAGTTTCTATGGATGAAAAGAGCAGATACGGATTAAATGGTTTTCAATGCATTCCTATGGGAAATGCAGATTCGACTTAAGAACTTTTCGACTTGAGAACTGCCTTCCAATACGGATTAAGTTCGTAAATCAAGACCCCACTGTAGTCAAAAGGATTAGCACATTTCTGAGGCTCAGATGAAAAGTAGCAAAAAAAAAAGACTATGCAAGTTCTAAATGCAAAATTATGTGCTCTACTATCTGGAAAAGACTAGAACTAGAATGATACAGCAGTTTGGGGTACTGGTGTCCCAAACTGCCATTGCTTGTCTGATCACCTTAAAACAGTTAAGAAACTCTTTGTGGCCATCAACTGTTCATGTAGTTAATATGAAGGGGAGGAAGGCCGTTGCCACTAACTCCACCCTTAACTATTGCAACTTTTGGTTGTCACCCTCCACATGTAGGAGAACTTGGTTCCCATAAATAGAGTCTCTGGGCAATTTAGAACTAGGGATGTGCCATTCAATATTTTGTTACTCCAGTTCCTAGAATTCTCCCTTTGGAGGGTTCCACCTGCCAGGCACACACCTCAGTTGTGCTCACCTGGAGGAAGGCTGAGCTACAAAGCTTCTTGGCCTCAGACAGGCCAAATTCGGCCTACCTTCCCATTAAAAAAGGATGTTGCCCAGTGCTTGCTGGGAAAAATAAATCTGTCCCTAAGGATTATGGAATTCCTGTATGACCAAGGAATGCAACCAACACCTCGTTTGTTTGCTGCCAAGATTTAAACCATTCTAATTTTCACTAGTATAAGTTGACAGTTTCCCAGTCTGGATTGACAGGGGTATCAGAAAGATTACCCCATATTTTAGGGGGGCCCTGAGGCTCAGAAAATGGAACTTGTCTAACGGTACCTAGTGAGTTTGTGGCAAAGCCAAATTTTGAATTGGGGACCTCCTGATTTGTAAGACAAATGTTTCTCGCACAGCCCTCTTCTGGCCATTTTTTCGTTCCCTTCTTTTTCATCTTATCTTAAAAGACTGTCCTTCCTCCGGCGCTGATGCTACAGCGAACTGGAGGGCGACGCAATAGGTTACACACCTGTTAGGCCATACACCACCTATTGAAAAATAAGACTGAACTGTCTACTTCTGGATATATTTTCCTCCAGAATAAGCTCTACCGAAGGAAATTAGTTTATGAATAGCTTCTTTCAGCTTTGGCCTTTCAGTTTGGCGATACGAACAAACATGAACTGATTTTTTAGAAGATAATGCCAAAATATGTGAACAATGAGCAAACATATTTGTGGTTTCTTACGGGCTCTTTTATTTTCTCATAATAGCTATCCCATTTGTGTATGTGTGTCTGAGAGAATAAAAACAGGAACCAGAAGTGATTGAAAAAACAAACCTCTTGAGAACAATATCCTGGTGTTACATTGCCACCTTGTGGCTTATTAGCCAAACCACAGTTTCTTGAATGTATGTGTGTGTCGCTGAAACACAGTAGTAGTGTTGTGCTATCAGGGTACTTGTCTCAAAAACTACCTTGAGAGAACTCTAAATAAAAATCATTCTGCTCATTTAGTGGTTGGCCAGTATTGAGCCTGTGTGCAAGCATAATGAAGGTGTGAGTGCTGCATTTAATAAATTCTGGTTAAAGAAAGAAAGAGGGGCACAATGCTAAGATAGTCTTTTAAGGGGAATTTATTTCCATACAATTCTAAATTAATAATGATTGGTACAATTTCATCAAATATTTTCAGAGGTTCACAGCAATAATCCTACCTATAGTGCTCAGGGCCTTCTATTTTGGGGGCTTATTTGCTTTTACATGAAGTTATTTGTAAACAGTGGCTTAAATCCTGTTTCATAGTACAGTATAGAAAGTTGCACTAGAGTAAGCCATCAGTCACTGGGGATTTTGTGAGTCAATTCCTCCATAAGTTCCATTGATTGAAATGGGCCTAGTTGCTACTTACTATGCCAGGCAAGTCGCAACTAGAGTAGGGCCATTTGATTCAAAGGAACCTAAGGAGAAGTTGACTTAACAAATCCTCACTGATTTGATGGGCCTACTCTAGTTTGATGTTCTGTGCTGTGCAAGGATGATCAGGGGGCTGGAAACTAAATCCTGTGAGGAAAGACTGAAAGAAGTGGGTATGTTTAGCCTTGATAAGACAGAAGGTGATAGGATAACACTTTTCAGATACTTGAACGGCTGTTGTACAGGGGAGGAGCAGAATCTGTTCTCAGTCATCCCAGACTGCAGGACATGTAGTAATGGGCTCAAATTATAGGAAGCCAGATTTCAGTTGAATAACAGGAAAAACTTCCCAGGTGTTAGAGCAGTACAACAGTGAAACCAATTACCTTGAGAGGTGGCGAGTGCTTCAACACTGGAGGCATTCAAGAGAAAGACAACCACTTGGCAGATACCCTTTGATTTCTATTCATGCATTAAGTAGGGGATTGGACTTCATGGCCTTATTGGCCCCTTCTGTGATTCTAGAGCGAATGGCATCCTTCAATCGCAAGAGACGATGGTAATGTGCTCTGTATGGAGGACTTGGAGAGTGTCCTCTCCAATTTCAGCTATTGTATTGCCTTCCTTCTGTGCTACATTGCAAACATTCCTAAGTTTGCTTTGAAGAGAACCTTTACAAGGGCATATCTCTTACTCTGCAGCAAGTTTTCTATGTTTTTCTAAGTGTTTTGCTTTTGGGTTGTTCTTTTTAAATGTCAAGAAAATGTGGACTTGCTTCAGAAAGTATATAGCTCATTATAATAGTAAATTACATGCAGTCAAGTTAATTATGACTGTCAGAGTTTTCTGGGTATAGTGTACAGTACTTAGAAGTAGCTTACCATTCCTTTCTTCTGGGGGCATCCTGGGATTGTACAGCTTGCTGAAGGCTACATAGGCTGGCTCTTTTTCTGGGGAACTTAGGGAGGAATTGAACTTCCCATCTCTAGCACTGCACCCAGGTACCAACTCACTGAGCTATTCAGCGGCATGTAGCTAATTCTGCAAACCTATATAGGTAGTACAGTATTGCATTTCTTGCTGGGTGTTGTTAAGGCAGAAGTTCTATACACATTTACTTAGAAATATGAAGCCAGTGGTGCTTACATTTGAGAAGATTTAAATGCACTTTGTAATGCTAACCTTTGTGTATCCTCTCAGCTGTAAGCAGCAGTGGGTTCAGTAGCACATATTTCCAGATTACTATTGCTGCCTTAATAGTATAGCAAGCTGTGCATTACTAGCAGAGGACCACAAACTCATTGACCCAAGAGATTCACCAGGGTTAGAGATTATTACTTATGTATTCTGTAATGGTAATGCAGAATCCATGTGTTGGGAATAATTTTCAAAGTCATATCCAGATGTGTATTGTTATACCTAGGGAGGGTGTCTGCAAGCTTCTAAACATACTGTTATGCTTTCCTGAAATAACACCATACATTTTTGATTGCATGCTATAATATTCTTGTAAGTTGTCTTTCTGTATGTTATCAGTTGTAAATACTGACAGGTTAATATTTGCCAATTTAATATTCACAAAGATTTACCATTTTTTGTATAGGATACTTTTGGAAATAGCCAACAGGCTTGGGTAGAAATAAGGAATTGAATGTGTTGTGTGTATTATGTATTAAGGAAAAAAAAATTTTTGGTAACAATTTTACCTCTCTCTACCCCTTGTATACAAAATGGGCTAAAAAGCTCAGATGAATGTATATATCCATGAAATGTTTGTTTATATTGGGCTGCTTAACAAAATACCATGAAAAATAAACTTTTCATGGGCAGATGTTCTCCCTAAATATCAGGACTAAAAGCAATAGATAAGTCCAAAAACTTCAAGCACTAATTCTCTCTCTTTTTAAAATTTAAAACACAGGAGAACTTCGACACATTACCAAACTGAAACCTTGGAGCCTCTTTGATGTTCTCGTGGAGAAGTATGGTTGGCCTCAGGAGGATGCTGCAGAGTTTACAGATTTCCTGATTCCAATGCTAGAAATGGTTCCGGAAAAACGAGCCTCAGCTGGTGAATGCCTTCGGCACCCTTGGTTGAATTCTTAGCGAAATCTCCAGATATTGACATTGGGCCAGCACCCACATCAGACTTAAATGGTGACTGTCATAAATTCTCTTCACAGGATCATAAATGAGCTGGCTCCAACCCCAGACTTTTATTTTGCTTTGAGGTACTGTTTGACCTTTTGCTTTTTGTGCACTGTGTTCTTGGGAGGAGGAATAGTCATTTTGTCTTCAGCTAATAGTTTCACTGACTCTGCAGAAAACACTAATGTGTCTTGAAGCATTGTTTCTTGTGTTGTGTGGCATTCAGACATCAAGTTTTTGAACAAAACATTCTTTATTCCCCTCTATGTGTTTTGGCAGGTTTTGTAACTATTTATGGAAAATATTTTAGCTGAGTATTCTATAATTTACAAGTGTGAGACCTTATCAAGTCAGAATTGAGAAAATGTACAATTCTATCTTTTGGCAAAGGGACATTGTTCTTGTAAAATAGTATATGTAAATGCACCCTGTAAATGTTTATTTCCATTAAAAATGGGATGGGGACACCAGTTTCAGAGTAAAGCTATTGAATTGAGAGCAACTTGTAGTGTACAAATTGCATATAGAGAATTCCAGGCTGCTTCAGGAGTTGCACAGACTTTCTGTGCTCTACCAGTGCCCAGATTGGATTTGGAGAAAATGGCTCTGATTTAGAATATTCCATTCTCCAACAGGCACTTTAAAGAAGGCTAAGCATTCAGAGGATAAAATATATATTTTAAGTGCTTTTGAGGAGATGTCATTTGTGAGGTGAAGTAATGGTAAAGGGGCACTGCTTTTTCTTAAGTATGGCTGATGTTCTAGGCTTAAGAATTTAAAATAAGCCTGGGAAGAATTCACACTTGTTAACCTTGGATAAAGATGATGCTCCACTTAAGGAAAAACAGAATTGATGCAAACATTTTCTTTACAACGAAAGATCATGCACCTTCCATACATAGCTTTACATGTTTCTAAAACAAATTGCACTAGCTTTCCCCCCATTAATTGACATATTGAGGAACTAATATTCCTTTGTAAGTTGCACACAAAATTTTAAGTGTTTTCGTATAAAAGTAAAAAACAAAAAACTAAATAGATTCCAAAAGAGAACTCATAGGCAATACAGATTTTAGAATGTAAAATATGGAGGTGTATTTTAGCCTCTTTTAGAAGTCAGTGGAATGAATGTAAATTTATTTCTGGTTTTACACTTTAATTATGGTGCCACTTTTTCTTGACTTTGTCAATTTTAAATTTCTTTACATCCCAGATTGTGAGACAAAACCCCATATTGTAACAATAACTAATTGTTTGAGGTGCTTGCAGTTGTCTAATTAAAGTGGTTGTGGTTTTTTTTTCAGAATTGTCATGCTCCCTGTAATGTTTCATTAATGGTGACTACAAAGGGTTTACCATAATTATATTAGAATTAGAAAAGCTCTTAGATTACACACATTCCATAAACTTTTTAAAATACGGGGTGTAAAAAAATCAGAGCAGCCTTGTGGCAGTTTGTGCCAAAATGAAAGAGCAACATTCTGCAAGGCCCGCCTTGGTAAATTGAGCCTCTTCATGTGGTAAAAACAGATTGGTTAAGTGTAATTTTGGGGTGTTCATTGGTGCAGTCACACACATGAATTATTCAACTTGGACTGTATATACACACCACAAAAAATCAGGATTACCCATCACTACATTAGGCATTTAAAAAGCTTTCCATGGGAGTTTAAATCCTTTTAGACTAAGAGAACTGTGAGGACTATACATGTTAAATATGTTAAAATTAACAAGTCTGATTTAACATGTTTATGAACAGTAGTGGCCCTTCAAATACTGTAATCCCAAAGTGCCTTTGGTCCTTAGTTTCAGACAGTGAAACTATTACCCAGTTATGCTGCTGCAAAAAATTGGAGATGATGTCTCCATATTCTTTAGTGAAGCAATGGCTGCTGACATCCCTAGGCATGCCTGCTATCCTTGTGCTCTTCTGGAGCCTGGTAAGGTAGGGGGTCTGGCCACTTCATGTGGATGGGCTGTTCTGTTGCAGAAGAGAGGTCACATCCTTCTAATACAGTACCTCAAACTACTCCTCAACTTCCTATGCATTGACTAGGGAAGTCAGCCACAGAGTAATGAAAGATACTTTAGAATTCAAATACAGTACACAGATCACCATTAAAATTTATAAATTTCAAAAAGTCAACCTCCCACGTGTACATATTCTTAGTGTCCCCTTCGTATGCATGGCAGGTTTCAGGTGGTCTGTGGTCTTGGAGCTAATGGCTGTGACTGACAGATGCACCTTTTTCTTTTTTGCCACTGATGTCAGACTTGCAAATGAATCACATACTTTTGAGCACAAAATTTCCCCCTTCCATTACAATAGCCAGTAGGTTGAATTCCACCTGTAGAATGCTACATGTATCAATTGTGGTCTCTTTTTAAAAATGAGTTACAGAAGCCAACAAAAGATTTTCCTTCAGGGCTTCTTGATTTATTGAGGATCAGCTTCAAGGTCACTAATTGTGTGGTCATTCACAGCTCTGGCTTTAAATTAGAGACCAAACTGTTTACAAATTGGTAAGTTTCCAATTAACTATGACTGCATTTGATTGCAGAAAAAGGGACACCTTGTCTTAGAAAGCCAGTGAGATAGAAACCTGTTAATGCTACTACAGTTTGGAAAATCCATAAAGCAGCACTGTAAATGTATATGGTATTGTCCCCCAGTTGCACCTGCTATGTCTTGCCCCTTTTGTGCCGCCATCTTTCAGTGTCGTAACAAAGGGCTCTGCTGGCATGACTGCACGGATGGCTTCTAGAATGAGACTTAGGTCCATGAACAGGGCTAGGCCTACCATTAGGAGAATACTTGTTCTGTGTCGCATGCAGCCCCTAGAAATCAGCTGTGTACTACAATTCCCGGTTGAGCGGGCTTGACAGTTATTCTCAAATCTGTAAGGAAAAGTGTACTGGAAGTAATTTACACTCACTTGCCTTTCAAAAGGCAAGTTCTGTATGATTGTATCTATGTTTTTAGGTTATGAATGAACTTTTCACTTTGTAATGAACTCTTTTTTGTGAGCTTGATCCTGTATTCTTGCCAGTGGTAAAAAGGTGTTATACTCCCTGTATCAATTCATGGATTAGTGTTGATTAATGTCACTGGAAAAGAATTCTTACAAAAAAGGACTTAACCACGTTGAGATGGCAGCTAATTTGAAAGTGCTTTCTGATTGTTTAGATTAGAAATGGATAAAAAATAGCTCATAGGTAGCATCCAACCTCCCAGAGATATTTGTGTGATCCCCAGTACTCACCAAATATAACTTGTACTGTATTGGGAAAAATCAAGAAGTCCCCTTGAGGGCATGGGGAGCATTTCTGTCTTGTCACTTATCCCATGTAAGTTTCACTAGAGAGCAGCACTCCCTTTGTTAATTCAATTTTTAAAAAGCTTTTAAAAACATTTTCAGTTAACAAAGCCCACTGCAGCAACATTTACAGTACATGGCCAGTGATTTTTTTACAAATAAAAAGAGAGATTAAATATACAAGTCAACTTTTCTGGCCTTTGCCAAATGCGGCTTCCAGGTTGCTAGTAAAACCTGCCCCCATTGAGATTAACTATTCCTTGCAGACTTTCAGAGACTTTACTACACTATACCGCATTTACTACTATGTCAAAACTATTTGCAAAAGGCCAATAAATAAAATCATTTTATCACTGAGAGGTAAGCAAAATTGGTTATGTATGCAATGAAATGATGAAACTCCATGCAGCATGTGGATAATCAGATAGTCATGTCATGTGAAGTTTTTTTTATAAAGGTATGTAGTAATCTCGCAAGTTTAAAAAAATGGAATTCATACAGGTTCTTCATGAAGGCTGTTTTTCTGATTATTTTGTGGTGATTCTGACAACTCCAAGGCTTGTGCCTCCTATGGTTTTGGCTAAGCATATTTCCCCCTTCTATTGGAGATTGCTACTGGCTGCAGCATAAGAGGAATATGCTTTCCCTGTAATTACTGGCTTGTAAACTCTGTATATTAGAACTCTATCATAGCCATCTATTGGTAAAACAGATTTTGAGAGCTTGAGTTTAGTCTAAGCACTCTTAGCTCCACCCCCAAACAGATGATATAGGTTTCTACTCTATTACAAAGCGGTTCTAACAGCATGTGAAGTACAGGAGGATCTCAGGGTTGGGGCCACTGTACATATGAGATCTACAACCAGGATGGATGCCTGTATGGATTCTGGGCTTCATATTTTGGAAGAACAGACAGACAGTTATTAGAAGCCACCCTCCTTCTACAGCATTCCACATTGAATTTAAAACCAAATTAACTTCTTCAGAAGCGCTACCAATCTGATGACAGCAATATTTTACTGTGAAGGATGACGGACCACAGTCCGTTACTTAAAGGTTCTTTTAATTTTCTACTGCACCACCACATTGCATTTCAGCAGATGTGGTGATACCAAAACCCCTTTGAGACCAGCCATGGGCTGTTTATATGATGTTAATTTCCATTTTGTTTTGACTCAGTTATGGCAATAATGCAGTCTGTGTGTGGCTTCTTTTACGTACCATGGTGCATGTTGGATTGGTTTAAAAAGGCAAGAAGTTGTGTGGATTGCTTTTCCTGCTAAGGGACTTTTGCTTGACCAGGATACTGTAATGCCATGGAGATGCCAATGATGGCTTGCATGCTACAATCTTAGTGGTTTCTTAGGAATAGCATTCCTTACAATGTCATGATTATCAAATGCATTTCAGTATCATTTTTCTCAAAACAGCAAGTTAGGAGGACGTGTTGTTAAAACTGACATAATTGTGATTTATTAACATGAATTAAAATGCCCAACCAGTGCTGCAATGTGACAGTATATTAAAAAAAATTAAAGTTCATATACTGTACTACTTTCACAAAGATCACACGCTTTTGCAAAAGACTTGTATGTACAATACTATATCAAATGAGAAGCGTTAAGCAGTTTTACACGCAAAAGGAACAGTATTTACAGCACTTGTCAGAGACATTAGAAACAATCTATACATTAAATTACATGTCTGCAAATAACTGTCAAAATAAAATAGCCATGTCCACACCAAACTATAAAAATCTGTATTGCATTTTCTATCTATATGCACACAAAAACTGTAGACAGATGAAAAACCTGTTAGTGCCGTCACTTAGCTGTGTATTTTAATTACATATGTATAAAAAGTAAATATAGAAAACATTCACTAAATGAATTTAACTGCAACAATAAAATTTAAAGTTATGCAGCATCAAATCTACTGCCAGAACAAACAGCTGGAATGTTCACGTACAAAATAAAAAATACCTAATACTGGCTCAACAGCACAGTTTCAGGAACTTTTAAAAGCAAAAATGGAAAGGAAAAAAAACAAAGAGCAAGCGCGCGCGCACTGGTGTTTGCTTTTATACAAAGTATCATGTACAAGCTTTAAAAAGTACCTTGAACGGGTACATATGAAATATACAGTTTTTACAGAACATTTTTAAAATGTTTAGAAGCAAGGGGTCCATTTTAATGCCACCCTGACCCATGATAATTGTTTTGAAAAGTTGGTGGCACCTGTGCTCTGTGAATTGGTATTTGTCCAGGCACTGGAGAAGCCTGCTGAGGTCCTTGCACACCATGAGGAAGGGATACAGAGCCAGGATGAGGACAGAACCCTGAAGGTGTTGGCGTTGGAATACTGTTTGGTCCTTGAGGCTGGATGTGAGGACCCTGACCTGGGAGTGGACAGTGGGGTCCTGTTGCAGCAGGCTGATGCTGAGGGCCAGGTCCCAAAGGTGTATGATGTGGAGGTTGGGATGGATAGGAAGAGACAGTTGAATGAGCACTTGAAGGAAAAAGGGGGGGCCCTTGATGAGATGGATGGTGCAGTCCTTGTGCTGATGCTGTGTGGTGCCCAGAGCTTAACACGTTGGAGGGTGGCGGAGGTGGAGGCGGAGGTGCTGAGTTGACTATATGCTGGTGTTGTGCTTGCAACCCTTGGTGACCAGCTGTGGGATGAGTAGGATGGTGGTGAGGAAGGGGGCCAGGAGGAGGAGGTGGCGGTGGCAGGTGATGACCAGTAGTTTGAGAATGGATGTGTGACCCTGGGGCCACTGCTACTGCATGCACAGGACCTACCACGTGGGCCACTGCATGCTGCTGATGAGTACTTTGCTGCTGCACAAGATGTGGTCCTGGAGCAGGAGGCGGCGGTGGTGGTGGAGGAGCACCAATGGCTGGTGTCTGATGGTGAATACTGGGATTCTGAGATGGCAAAAAATGCCCACTGGTTACATGGTGTCCTGAAACTGCTTGCTGGCATGTTGTCCCAGCAAGTGTTTGATTTGGTCCAGAGGGAAATACAGTTTGTTGGGGTGGGATGCTACTTTTTAACTGATTGTAGTTTTGAAAGTTTCCTGAGGGGGGCTGCTGGTTTTGATAGTAAGTTGAGGAAGGGGGTGGCGGTGGGGGCGGGGGCGGAGCAGTGGAATTCAAATTTTGTTGGTGAAACTGATTGTAAGCAACTGAAGATGTTTGCGAGAACAATGTCCCACTAGGTGGTTGTGGAGGTGGCGGTTGCGACTGCTGCTGCTGCGGCTGCTGTTGTTGTGTACTGCCTTGAAGGTTCTGTGTTGCCGCATAAAAACCTCTATGAGAGTCTCTCTGCGGTGTTCCCACTTGAGGTGACTGAGGATGATGAGGTCTGTATGGAGATCCTAATTGTTGTGAATGAGGCTTTGGTGAAAGGTAGCCATGCTGTGCAGGGGCGTGGGGTGTAGAGGATTTGGGAGGATTTTCTACATGAGGGGAAGGGGAACAATGTAACTTCAATGGTGTAGAAGGAAGCTTCTGTGAGAGTTGCTCTGTTGTACTACGCACGTGGGGCTGGGGTGGATGGGATTTTGAAAGTGCTTCAGCATTATTTGTCAACGGCTTCTGTTGCTGGTCAGATTTTGCTTGGGTCATGTTCTCAACCTCTGGAGTTTCAGCTGTTGCCTCCCACTGGGCATCCTGTTTTGTGGGTGTTTTCCCAAGGGACTGAGCAGGAACTACAGGACTTGATGAAGAAGTCTACATTTAAAAAAAGAGGAGAGTCAGTAGACATCCTTTGGCTTATAGCACACCCATGTTCTACAAAGAAGATGGTTTGCATGGGCCCTTTCTATGGGACTGCACCTTGCCACAAAGAATGTATTTCTCCCTTATAAAATAAATGACCTTGTTTCAAAAATCTTTTTCTTATTAAAAGCTAAAAGATTCATGAAATGGCACAAGCAATCCTGCAGTGCGATGATACCAAATGCTACATTATTTATTGCTGAACTCCTTGTGAAAATAAATCAGGACCCTGGTCTGAAACAAACCAGTACTCATGTGTCGGCTGCCCTGATCTTTCATGAAGAACAGTGGGATATGTATCAAAATCATCGTATTATTTTATGGTCAATTTTTATATTTTAGGATTTCATTCATCATACTCCCAGCTTTTCTGAGTAGGGGCTTTGGCTTCAGAACAAAGCTTCTGTAGTTTTTCGAATATTTCATTTGAACTATGCAACCAATGGGCTAGTGAGGTTTAATATTATCTGATCCCCTGTTGAGTAATGTTAAAATGTTTTACCTCAAATAGCACAATAGGCCTGTCCAAATAATGTGGTTACCAGGGTCACTGCAACACTCTTACTTCTGAGAACAAAAGGAAGACACTCTGAAGCTATATTTCAAAGGAAAACAGTTGGACTCCATTGTGCTTAAGACAAAATATACTTGATACTCTGACTTTCTAAATGGTTCAGAAACATTCCTGTGTAAGATATACAAAACTGTGATTCCTTTTCAAATGTGAATGATCTAGCTGGATAAAAATATCACTATCTGTTTGGCTTCCTGGACAACATTTTCAATGAAGCACTTCTGCTGTTAAGATGGTTGTTTACAAAATAAAGACATGAAGGATTAAAGCTTGTCAAGTATGACACTGGCCCTGACAATACACAAATTGATTTGATGGACCACAAAAATCTTGCCTTAGACTTATTCCAAGAGCAACCATCGAGAGGCACCTTGGCACCAAGAAAAAGCAGGGCCATTTTGATGGCCCACTCTCACTTGCTCTTGGTCGTGCAAAAATTGTATCTGAATTTAAAATGTCTATGTCAATTTATCACAACCAGAAAATATGTAGGAAAGTCTGGCGGTGGGTAGGTGCATATTTATAAGCCTGATCATACTGTACCTTGCTCACTTTTAAAGGACTTTTGCAAGCCTTCACAGAAGCTTCTGGGGACGGACATTCACTTGTGGGCTCAGGATTTTCAGGATCTGCAATAACAATTAAAACAGGTCTATAGACAGAACTATGTAATGGGTCTGGAGGATTGCTACGGTGATAGCAGCCTGATGTACCAGAGAAAACCAAGTACAACCACAGGATTGCTGGGAGTTGGAAAGGAGGCAGTATCCAGGGACCCCAAGTGACTTCTTACCAGAATCTTTGTCTTTCCTATGGTCACTAAGAAGCAAGGCTCGCTGATAACTTCGCTCCCTCACTTGCTCCACCGATGTTGACGCAGTCCTTTAAAACAAAACATGTGACTTGGATTTGCTCTTTTCAATCTGCACTATTACTAGCAAATATTAGCAAACTAGTAAACAGGTACTTTAATATTAGTAAGTAGTTAATAGTAAATAACTTTAATACTAGCAAATAGGCACTTTAAATTCAGTTCCCGAAAATAAGACCTAACCTGAAAATAAGCCCTAGTATGATTTTTCAGGATGCTCGTAATATAAGCCCTACCCCCAAAATAAGCCTAGTTAAGTGAAACCCTGCCCTCCACCACTGTGCAGCAACCAGAAGATGACATGATTGTATTTGAGTAAATGTAGACTGTTGTACATGAAAAAAGAAAAGAAAACATCCCCTGAAAATAAGCCTTAATGCATTTTGGAGTAAAAATTTATATAAGGCCCTGTCTTATTTTTGGGGAAACACAGTACAGTGGTACCTTGACTTGGTGAACGTCCCTACATAAGAACGATTCGAGTTAAGAACAGCTCTGTTCGCAAAAAGTTGCTTTAACTTGAGAATGGAACCTTGACTTAAGAACCAAAAAAAGAAAAGAAAAAACCTTTCCTGCCCTTTTTTTGGACCTTAGGTCAAAAGAAGGAAAAAATAAAAATTCGCCCCCTAGTGGTAGATACGGATTAACCGGCTTTGCATTAGTTCCTATGGGAACTAATGCTTCAATTTAAGAACAGTGCCTTGACTTAAGAATGAAAAACAGCAGATATGGATTAAATGGTTTTCAGTGCATTTCTATGGGAAATGGTGCTTCGACTTAATAACGTTTTGACTTAAGAATGCAGTACCAATACAGATTAAGTTCTTAAGTCGAGGTACCACTGTATACAGTGGTGCCCTGCTAGATGACCTCGCAAAACGATGAATCTACATGATGATGTTTTGCAATCGCTATAGCGATTCGCAAAACTGTTTCCAATGGGCGATTTTTGCTGGACGATGTTTGGGTACGTGCCTCGCAAGACGACATTTTGGTACTGATCGGTCCTTTGCAAAATGGGTGTTTTCCGAACTGATACTTTGCAGGACAGCCATTTTAACAGCTGATCGGCACTTCGCAAAATGGCTTCCGTATGGGCGATTTGCACAAAATGACAACTATTTTCCCCATTGGAACGCATTAAACGGGTTTCAATGCATTCCAGTGGGGAAATGGTTTTCGCAAGACGATGTTTTCACAAGACGAGATTTCTATGGAACGGATTATCGTCATGCAGGGCACCACTGTACAATAAAATCTCTGTTGTGATCCAAATTGGCATTACACTGATCCAAAGTATTTGGGTAAGTTGCAAGACATTCTTTTAATCTTTAATGCATTTCATACAGGTTTCTGTGGCCTGACAGGAACATGTGGAGGAGTGAGATGACATAATGTGTGCAATTTTACTCTCTATACTACACAAATCCAGCTTCAAGCGAGAGACAGAGTTTGCTTTGGGGCTATGAATTCTGGTGGTAAAGCTGCGAAACACTGAGACTTACTTCTGGTACAGTGTTGCCATGAATGGGAATATTTCTGATATTTTAGATCCAAACTGCTAACTAGCAATGTAATTTAAAACTTTTACTCCTATTTCTGATCTAATACTCAAACTGCTTGAAAGCACAGTAATTCTGAACACTGCTCCATACAATTTGCTCAATGAATCAGAACTGATCCATGGACCAGCATTTTTGGGTTGTTGAGAACCAGTAGTTTCAATTGGAAAACTGGTTATCTGGGTACTTCTTAGAGCAGGTGGAGGTAGACTTTTTTCTAACCCATCCTACTGTGAAACAAATACCGTATTCTCCCTGGAAAAAAACTGAAAGATTTGGGACTAGCAATTCTCCCAGTTTAAGCTTTATGTCAATATATATACCACTAGTGCACTTACACATACATGATTTGGAAATTGTGGTACTAATGTACAAAATAATATTGACATTTCTCAAATTTGCATATGTATTGTAATATTGCAAGCAGAAGTTTCACATGCATCTGCATGGAATATATCTGAATTACTTCAAAGTGGTTAAGCATTGCTATATAGTCATCTTTTAATACTGTCTGAACTGAAGCACTTGGCATTACTCAAAAATCTGAACCCAGATTTGTAAGTATTTTACTTTCTATAAAGCAGGGATGGTCAGCCTCCCAAGGCCTGGTGGCTCACACCCACTTTTATTCTCTCACCCAATTTTTGCCAATCCCCCCCCATTTCTAAGCTGTTGTAATTGGACTCTAGTTTGGAAAAAAGCCTGCCTCAACAGCTTAAGGGCTAAAACTTGGCAACATTGCCCCTCATAGTCTTTAGAGGGCAGTAGGGAATTTTTGAGGTTTTTTGTTTTTTGAATTAACCACTAGTAGGCCAGAGGCTGCATTTCTGCCTCTGGAGGCCACATCTGGCCCATCTCTGTTGTGAGGCATACATGAAGACCTGCAGGAAAAACACAGAGGTACTCATAGTCTTTATATGCTTCATTCTTTATGTCTCCTTATACAGCGTGTGGCTGTTTATTATACACAGCAACAGGCTATTTTTAAACTTGTCAAAATACGCATAGTTACAAATCAGCCAAAACAACAAACTAGGACCATCTTGCTACTGTATAATGTAATGTTCTGAAAACACGACTGCTACATTTTGATGTCCTGGACACCTGCATTATTTGGAGCACATTCAAGTCTGCCATTTCAAGTTATCTTTCAAAAGAGCTTACCACTGAACCTCTGGATCGTTCTTTTCATTTGAAGCTTCTTTTGATGCAGAGGAATTTTCAGTCTCTTCTGAAGCAGCACTAGACTCGGTGGCTGGCAAAGGTAAAGGGACACTAGCAGCCAGCTCCCTCTCTGCTGGTTCCCCATTTTCAACACTGCTGTAGCCGTCAGTGACACCGCTGTTGTTTCCAGTTCCAGCAGCATGTGGTGATATGCTGAGATGGGGAAAGCCTTCTGTCTTGGAGCCACTTTTTCTGGCTTCTCGCTGCCTTTTACGATATTCTAAAAGTGACACCTGTGGGAAAAACGGAATGTAACTTTTCTAACTCAAAATGTTCAGCCATTCTTAGATATATATTTTTCAGGATGTCGCCCAAACTCATTAATAACTCTACCACTGCATTGTATCTTTAAAAAAATTGCAACATGGATCTGTTTTCAAAATGGTATCATTTTGGAAGAGAAAAATCATATTGCCTTGGTTTGCTTTATTCACATAGGTTTCTCATGTTTCGAATGCACTTAACTGCTTTCCCAAACAAACAAGTTGAACTAAATTTGAAGCCATAGATGGGATAGTAGTCACAACTGCTTGATAACTATTTCAGTGAGTTCATATGATGCAGTTACAAAGGTAGACATTGTAAAAGTTCTTAAACTACCACTTTAGCAAAATGTGAATATCCTTGGATTAGTTTTATTTTCATAATTTTAGTTTTTATTTTAAACTTTTTAGCTCAAATGTCCTCATTCTGCCAGTTGCTGTTGCACAGTAACTGAAAAGGAGCAACCTTCAAAAAGGACTTGGGGAAGCTGCATTAGAAGAGATAGCAACACTCAACTACCGAGGGGGTTCTTTGACAACATAAGCAATTTCTGAACTAGGAGTCAAAGATGTGAATTCACTGGGGCAGGAGTGGTGTTCCAATTGAAAAGCAATACTCCACTGCAACTCAGTTTCCCTGCCTTTAGGTTGTCTAACCCTGTCATTCACAATGTAAGTATTGTGTATAAGATATTGTGTGCACATGCATGTGCACACAATATCTTATACACAATACTTATATTGTGAATGACAGGGTTAAACAATAATATATATTAAATAAATAAACAAACAAACAAACAAACAAACTCTTTCTGGGAATGTTCTGAATGTCTTATAAGAGATTTCCCTCCTAGACACAGTCAGTGTCTAAGAGCCCATAGTTTCTTAGCATCAACAATCCTAATGTATCAGATGTTTCAGAGCATTCTCTAATAAATTTTATTTCAGTGATGGCATAGCTTCTCATAGGTTCCAAGTGGTTCAATTCAGCCTCCCATGTAATTTGCCCATACCCAAGTTAAATGATTTGTCAAAATCAATGAAGTTCACCCATCAGTTCAGTCAACTGTACATTACAAAGCATGATGTAGATAAATTCATGTATCTGAAACAACTTAGACGCTGATGCTAAGAGATTATAGCTCCAGTTCTATACCCACTTAACTCAGAAGCAGCCCCACTGAACATAGATTCAGAGTTGACTCAGAAGCCAATCCCCTTATGTCAAAAGGGATTACAGTGGTGGCTCGCTTAGCGATCGCTCCGTTGAGCAACGAAATCGCTTAGCGATGGGGTTTAAGCGATCGCAAAAGTGATCACTTAGCAATGGTCCCTATAGGGAAAATTCGCTTTGCGATGATTGCGGGGAAGCGATCATCGCAAAGCCCCCATTTTCGGCCAGCTGATCGGTGGTTTTAAAATGGCCGCCGGAAAACAAAATGGCTGCCCGCTGTGTTGCCATGCTTTAGAGGCACCGAAAATGGCCGCCCCATGGAGGATTTTCGCTTAAGGTTAGTTTTGAAGCCCATAGGAACTCATTAATGGCATTTTAATGCGTTTCTATGGGCTTTTAAAAATCCGTTTTTTCCTGCACGGGTTAATGTTGCTAAGCGAGGCACCACTGTATTCCCAGGTAAATGTGCACAGGATCACATCCTGAATCCCAATCTGTACATCTATTCTAAATACTAGTTTTAAAAGCTAACTTATGGATCCAATCCCTGATAAGCCTCAACTTTATTTTCTAATGTCTGTTAAGAAACGGTTTAAATCTACTTTAAAGCTTACAAAAGGCCAGAACACTTGGAAGTCTGCAAGTACAGAAGTACATTGCTATTTTTGTTTTTATACAACAGGTACATAAACAAGTTCAAAAAGGTCATAACCTTTTTCTTTTGTGGAGGATTCTGGGGTGTGCAGTTTCCATCCATTAAGCTCTCACTGCCGACAGCCCTTCCAAAGCCAGCTGCAAGTCCATCTTCAGAAGTGCAAAAAACCGGTGATTCCATGAATATGCCTCGAGCATCATCTGGAATTAGGCACTTTGACTCACTGATTCGGAATCCACCTCCTACCTCCAACTGGTGTGAAGGTGTTAAGTCCCTCAAATTAGAATTCATAGAGAAGTTTACACCAGTTCTGTCAGGACTTTTGACCCAGGTGGGATAAACAGTTCCACGACCACAGTGTGCCGTTTCCAGTTGGCTGTTTGAATCAGTCCTCTCATGACAGGGGCCATCTATGGTCTTATGCAGTGCACTTTGCTCAATTGCTTCAAGTCCCAGCTGGAGGTCTGAGGGGGCTTCCTTTTCTCCAGAGCACTGCCTGCTGCTATCAGTCCTGTTCCTTGGACTAGAATAGCCAATAGTCTTTATTTCTTGCAGGCACATTTCTGTAAGATTGGAATTTCTGAACGGGTTGAGTGTCAGCATTGTTGATGATGACCGGTCATATCCCTATATGAGGAAGAAAACAATAAAATATAAGAGATACTGTTTAAGAAAATGGAAGAAAAATGACACCACAGATGGAACTGTATGTAATATTAAGCCAAGTTGCACTTTGTTAACTTGGCACTAAACATGATTCCAAAAACTATGGTTTGTGGGCCCGAACCATAATCGGAAGCCATGATTTGTTACAGCTTTACAAACTCAAAGTTATTAAAAGAGAGCTAAAGTTTGGGAGTTTGATTCCCCACTGTGCCTCCTTGACGGGCTGGCCTCAATGATCCATAGGGTCTCTTCGAACTCTGCAGTTCTAAGATTATTATCATATTGTTATTATATATTACATTTGGATCCAGAACTCCAGTTATGCCTGACTCGTTTCCCCAACTTCCCATGCTAAAATGGGAGACGAAACAGGGCAAAAATGGGATGTGTGTTTGGTCTGTCAGGTCATCTTCAGAACAAATCACAGCTAAAACAACAAATTACAGATACTGCAGCCCATGCATCAGCTCAACAGAAAATTTGGTGATTTGAGATTGCACAGGTTAAATATTAACAAACATCCTAACACATCATCTGTATTTTAGTGATTTATGCCTTTAGAACAGATGTCATAAATCATTGTTTAGGCCCATTCATACAAAGAAACTTGATCCAAATGTTGGCAACAATAATGGAAGTTACAGGATTTAAGACAGGAAAGCCCACCGCATACTTGCACATCTGGATGATGTGTTTGGAACAGAAGGTGAAAAATATACATTTCTTAGTGAATTTGGTTATTATTAGACACATCACAATATGGGAACTATTAATATTTTTCCTCCACTGAAAAAGGAATCGTGGAACTGTATTATTTGACTGGCTTGAGAATATGACTTATGGAGGTATATTTTTCATGTAACAGAATTATACCAATGAAATAAAGATCTTTTTGTGGTAGGAGTTTAGTAGATTATGTAAATTTAGTATTCTTTTACTATAAATTTGAGTAACTGATACTATGTGGTTTGGGGACTTTTTAAACAGTGTGCCGACCAGTATGGTTTTTTTTGTAGGATTAACTCCCAATTAAAATATTTTTGTAATATATTAGGAACACAGAAACCTGCATACAAATACTCAGTCCACTGATGACACACACCACTGGCTTCAGCCAGGATTCCTTACCAAGAAATACCAGGGACTGAATCTAGAGCTTTTGCTTTGCAAAGCACACGCTTCTCCACACTACAGCTTTTGCCTCAAACAGTTAATTCTAACATCTCTGTAGAGTTCAAAACATTTAGTAAAACAGACCAAACAGAAGCCTTTTGACATAGATTTCTTACAATTATCCTTACCTCTTGATTATATGTTCGCCTCTTAACCTCTGGGGAACTTTCAGGGGAAGAAATATTCTGCAAATACACCAAAAATTAAGAATGGCAAAATAAAGGAAATGATCTGCTGTTACTCTGATGAGGTAAAAAACCCTAAATGAGAATGATTCCAGTTTAATCTGAAATCCATGCTATCTGCAAATCCAATTATAATAAATAATAATATAATAAATACAGCACTAAGGATTTGAAACTATGCAATTACATCTGAAAGTGTCTATAAAGAGCAATTTTGCAACATTCTGTTCATATGTTTTTTTATATGGGCACAAGAAGTCTAGTCCCAAACTAGGCATCTTCCTATATTTGCAGGAGCATCCACGCACATGTAGAGCTCCTACCTAAGCAAGATCTGCCCTGTTTAAGTCACTGAAAAATATGAAGATGCATTCTTCTGCAGGAGACAATGGACACACACCCCAGAAGCAGTAATTGTTGTTCGCTGTTTGTATTTTAAGCTACAATTCACACAGCAGATGGGATGTCTTTCCCATTTCTAATTTGTTTCTCTTAGGTCTCTTTTAAAGCTCTCTTTCCAGGGTCAACACCATTGTTCTGGGTTTGGATGCCATGGCAAACCATGTTTTTTTTAAAAATAGGGTTTATAAAATGAAACAAAAACCAGTGCTTTCTGATTGTATTAATAAATCACAATCATTACAGAGGAAGATTCATGGTTTACAATAAACCAGATTTCAACAGACTACAACATAGTATGTTGCAGCATGAATGCCTAGTGGATGGGTTCAGTAATGTAATCATCTTGAAGAGACATCTTGTGATACCCTAAGGTCCTACAACGTGTTACGGAGTAGTTATGGGGGCAGGGGAAAAAGCCTTGTTCCAGGAATACAAACTCTTTCTTAAAGGACCATTCATATTCGAACTTACATATTTCACAAAATTAAGGTCAAAATTACTTTTTCATATGACACTTTCTAGTTCATACCACCTAGAAATGTAAGAGAAGCCTATCTAGCAAAGTATCCAGTTTCTCACAAGGCCAACCAGACCCCTGTGACATCTTGTTCCCCCAGCAAGGAGAACTTGGACACATGCTGCTTCCGATTCCAGAGGGATCGCATAACTACCATAACCAGTACAGTAGTACCTCGCAAGACGGCCGCTCCGTTTAACAATGAATCCACATTACAACGAAGTTTTTTGCAATCGCAAAACGATGTTTGGAATGGGGGAATTTCGCTGCGCGATGATTGGTTCCCTGTTTCGGGAACCGATCAAAACAGCTGATCATCGGGTTTTCAAAGTGGCCTCCTGGTGCCCAAAATGGCTCCCCGCTGTGTTTAGGAGCCATTTTCCGCTGCACAGGCACCCGAAAATGGCCGCCCCTATGGAGGATCTTCCCCGGACGGTGAGCTCTTAGCCAATTGGAACGCATTAACCAGGTTTTAATGCGTTTCAATGGCTTTTTTATTTTCGCTTTACGACGTTTTCGTTCTACAGCGATTTTGCTGGAACAAATTAACGCTGTAATGCGAGGCACCACTGTATCTGCTGATTTGTCCATTGGTTACTTACCATGATGCCACATTCTGGTCTGTGAGCAAGAAGCTAGTTGGGTTATTCTCCTCTGCCACCCAGGCAAGGCAGGATTAACTCTCAGATGATAAGAATCCATTTATAATGGACAGAGTTGGCTCCTTCCTAGTATCTTTATACAACAGCCAAAACGATCAATCTTTCACAAAAGTGAAAACAGAAACAGAATACTGTTGATGAGGAGGTGTGGCTTAAATTCTTAATTAGGAAACCGAATGGGAGTAGCCATCATAGGAAGAGGCTAGATGTCTCCTTTTTCACAGGCCTGAATGGTCCTTCATGGTAACTAACCAATGTACTGTTCTCCATCTGCAGGAAGGACCAACGATTTGTGTGGGACCTACCCAACCTTACACTAGCAGGAAAGGAAGACAGCTGTTGAGTGAGGAACTACTTGTAGAAGGTATTTGTCTGCCAAAGACAGCTTCAGCTGATAAAGGCCTATTTTATTCTGGTGGGTGAAGGTAGAAAGATGATATCAGATCCCTATTTTACAGATCTCTGCTACCACAGCAATGGTGGAAGATGCTGCCAAAGTAGCTGCTGCTGTGGCAGAATGAGGGGTGATGCTCCTAGGTTTAGGAACATGACTCATCTCATATGACAAGGAGATGTAGGTTGCTAAAGTAGAAATAATGACTTTTTAACCAACTAGCATAGCAGACTTTTGTATGTTCTGCCAAAGACAGCTTCAGCTGATAAAGGCCTATTTTATTCTGGTGGGTGAAGGTAGAAAGATGATATCAGATCCCTATTTTACAGATCTCTGCTACCACAGCAATGGTGGAAGATGCTGCCAAAGTAGCTGCTGCTGTGGCAGAATGAGGGGTGATGCTCCTAGGTTTAGGAACATGACTCATCTCATATGACAAGGAGATGTAGGTTGCTAAAGTAGAAATAATGACTTTTTAACCAACTAGCATAGCAGACTTTTATATGTTCAAATGTTTTTAATATAAATGTTTAACAGTCTATGCACATCTAATTTAAGTCACATATACTCAGCAAGGAGAGGATTAGGACAAAAGGAAGGCAGGATCACAGGATATATGAACAAGTACAGTAGTCAACTTTGGGAAGAAAGGAAGGAAGGATCAAGACGAAAGATGATTGTCTGGGGCCCAAATTTACAAAGGTGCTCTTCTTCCAGTGTCCAGCTCTGAGGCCCAGCCAGTAGATATTATAGCCGTCAAAAAAGTCACTTTCAGGGACACAAGTCTGAGATGATTAAGCTGTCTGAATGTACTTCTCCATCCAAAGGAACAAGGGCACTGCCCTCTTGGGAAGTAAAAAGTATTTGGATCCCTCCTATTTGTCTGTAAATGCCTTGGCCAAAATTCTGTGCGTTGCCATCAGCACGTCTGTTGACCAGAAGAGACTGAAACCACAGCATGGCCAGCTGAATTCCCTATGCTCTAGTTAGCTGATGCTGCACTGAACTGCCTGGCTGGTCTACAGATCCAAAGCCACCTGACCTTGACGCCTGTCAAGAGTTTCTGTGTGAATGGAGACCAATGTGCCAGATCTTTTTAGAGATGGAGAGATCCCCCCTCATTTGTTGTCTGTAGACTTTGACAGTGATGCAGAAAGAAATCTGTTTCCAAGAATATGTTGAAATTCTATTCAGTAACCCTCTCCTTCTGCCTAAATAACCCATCTGTCCATGATGCATACCTCCGATTTTAGAAGAATGAACTATAGTGTCTTTCTCCCACTGAGGGAAGCAAAGACCAATCACTAAGTGTGGAGGGACTAGCTGGTGGCCTGTGGTCCTGAGCAGGGGTAGCAGGAACATCCCTGAAGCTCTACATTAGAAGTGCTATTGAAACTGTGCATGTGACCATTGTTGATGTTTGAAATTCCTAAATTCCTGAGGCTTGACACCCTCTGAAAAGGCTGAGGAGAGCAAAAGGTATGTTTAGACTGTGTTTCATCATTTTTTAAAGTAACAGTCAGCATGGGCTTTTAATCTTTGTCTCTGCAAAGATGCCTTTCATCTTCTAAAAAAACAGATCCTATTAAATGGGATGGTTGCTAAATTTGAACAAGCAAGGCATCTGTATGCTAAAGTTTTAACCAGAGTACCTTGTCACTCTGATGTCAATGACAGATCTAGTTACCTAGGTAACAGAATCTTGCATAGCATGAGCAATACAGGCATAGGAATCAAATAACCGGACCATGTTTTTTGCGTAAAGCCTTAGCATCTATATTAGAACTGTTAATAAAACACTCATTCCAAAGCACAGAAGCTCTAGTGATAAGTGAAGCAATGGCAGATGCTCTAATCACTAAGGAACAAGCATTAAGTCCTTTTGCATAAGGACTAATATTATCATTAACATGCCTGAAAGCTGCACTTGCCTCTTCAGAAGTATGGGCTTCAGACCATAAGCTTGGACTGAGGCCTCAACTACCAGGACCTTAAGCAATACCAAAATGGCTGGAAATAGCACAAGTTTCTGTGCCAAGGCACTACTAACAGAGAAGCCCCCTCAGTCCTCAGCAGTTTAAGGCATGCATTAGGAAAAAGTTCTTCCTCAGAAGAGGTTCTGTTCTTAGGAAATATCTGGGATGCATGCAAAAAAATGTCAGAGGAAATGTCAGTAACAGGAGATTGTTCACTTTGTTTTTTAGGGTGAAATTTCTGAACCACAACCATCTCAGTTAAAAATAGATGAGTAGTCTATCATATGCGAATTCCCTGAGTTGGTCTACTTCCAAAAAATCTCGCTGGTCTTCATCAGACTAGTGATAAGATTGGAGAAATGCTAACTCCAGGTCAGTCTCTTCTCTCTAAGGTCTCAGAGTCACTACAGCCTATGATTTCTCAATGGCATCAGAGTGTAATGTTTGCTAAGGAACTGAAGGTGTGTTAGATCGAGGAGCAGCTTGAGAAGAAAAACAAGAATGAATTACTCTGGGAGCAAGAGTATTATTCACCTGAGAAGACAGGTTATGAGAATTAGCAGCCTATGAAGTTTGCACAACAGTGAGATTAGACAGAAAGACTACCAGAAGTGAAACTCCTGCCCTTCTTCTTGGAACTGGTTAATTACTAAATTCCCCATAAACAGCAGAACTAATTCAGAATGAGGAACTCCACCATAAAGGGTATCAGGATAAACACAGACTGAGCAGGGAGAGGTCGAAAAGGAGCAGAGAAGCAAAAAGAAAAGGAGGAAACTACTAACTAAAACCAAATTATACACTTGGCTGTTGAGTAGAAAAACTGGCACCACAGATATGCTGCTGTAACGCAACTCCATGTTAAAGGCCAGGCATGATTTTTGGTGGGAAACTGGGGTGGCCAACCTGCCAACTGAAGAGCAATTTAGGCAGGCTGAGGAGCTTTTAGACAGAGGTGCCACATGCGTACTTCCATCTCCATCATGTTTCATACCTTCAGGGCTCAGGGAAGGAGAGTGGTTCACAATCACCTCCTCAGCAATGTCTTCTAGAGACAGAGCTCAGGAGGAAGCTGCTTCCTAAATTTAGTAGATTCATTAGAGCCTGGAGGCACTGCCACTGACTGACAAGAAGGAAGCAGCTTCACATTTGCTGAGCATGAAGAAAAGGGTTCTAAAGTGCCGTTTGTAGGGCAGTGGTCCACGGCTCCAACTGGCTTTCAGCAGGTTTGGAGTAGTTTGGGGAGACTTTGCCAAAATTGTTTACAGAAGCAATACAGAATAAACTAGCAAACATAAGGTTTTTGAAAAAGATGTGAAAAAGGTGAATAAGGGAAGAATTAAGGAATATAATGAATCCAGATATAAAACGATCAGTTTTCAGATACACATTGGAGCCAAGTATGACACAGGGCAAATGAATTATTTTCTCCTGAGAGTTTGTCCTGCCTTGGCTGAGTGGCGGGGGGGGGGGGATACTTCAAATTACTGGATGGCTCACACCCACAGACTAAGAAAGCTTTATTCATGCTGAATCTGGTTAATCCCTTCCAAAGCTATCTGAGTTGACTACTCCTGGAATATTTCCCACCTTTACGGCTGTATCTTCCAGCCAGTGTATTAAAATAAAAATTTTAAGGCTTATCTGATGGTGTATTGATACAAGAACATAGTATATGTGAAGTCTGACCTCAAAGTGCATTGCATTTCCATGTATGCATGGAATCACTGGAGTAACAGGTGAGTAAATGGGCTTATAACCATTTCTACAGTTTTCATCTTCTGCTTTTATTCTTGGAGGAGTAGCAAACAACAATGGATCTGAGGCTGAAATATCAGCATGGGTTGGTGTGGCATATGGAGAAGGAGTAGGCGTAGAGGTTTCTGAATAGGCTGAATCCAACAGCTGGTACAGTCTTCTTTTTTTCAATGGTGTGGTGAGATCTGAATGGTAAGACAGGAAGGCAAGAAACCAAGTTAGTTCCTGTTTAATGATGCTTTAAGATTTTAATGGAAAACATTATCAAGGTATATCCATGAACCTTGTTATCTTAAGATTTAAAAAAGTAGTTCCAGAAAAGTATGCATACAGATCTGATTTCCAAGTTATCATCTATCAATCATGAAGAAATGAAGAATTCTAGAATTCCTATCAGCTGTTTAACCTCTGGTTACATGAGGTAAAGGATATTTGAGCATCAGGTCTTTAAAGCAAAGCATACATACATGACTTAACACAGCCAGAAAGAAGTTGCTAAAGTAAACAGGTCAAAAATAAGTGGGGAATATGAAAAGCTGTGGTTTCCCAGTTGCTCCTCTATACTGCTGAAAGACTGAAAAAGATGAAGCAGTTCTAGGGGAGAGCTTGCACAATTTGTAAAATAACACATTCACCTGCTAAAGAACAGCTGTCATTCAACAATAAAGGGCTTCTACTTTCACCATTGATTGCAGGACTTCTAGATCTTTCATGAGACGGTGAATTTAAATTATCTACAACTGCTGAGTTCTCTTCCTCCAGAGCTTGCTTTAACCAACGCTGCAAGAAGATTTTTTGCAAAATAATTAATATCATTTCTATTTCCTGACTTTTTAACAGCATTTACAAGCCACTGTGTAATGAAGTTTTCAGGTAGCTTACAGCATACTATGACATTACTTAAAATTCAACTAGCATGACAACGTATGACACAGCATAAAATTCAGGAGTAGAAAAGAAAGGTAGCCTAAAATAACCTTGGAAAAAAAAAATTAAAATCTTTTCCTGGTGCTGAAACGACACCAAAGTTTATGCTGATGGTGAAAAGCTCTTTTACCAGTATTAACCAGCTGTCACTTTTAATCAGTAAACAAAGAAATTTCAATGTTTTTCAGAATTACCATTAACTTTAAAAAGATAAATCAGAGGGCACATTACCTTTTTGCAGGAGCCAATAATATTCTCCACAGGTTCTTTTCTCCGTCGCTTTTCGGAAAGGAACGGTGATGTAAAACGAATATAGTGCTTTGGAGTAGTATATACATGGGGGCTATAAGTGAGACCTGGCAAAGAATTCAGCTGTGTAGCCAAAACCTCAGGATCTGTCGTTATACGCAGAGGCCTTTCTGAAAGGCTGTCCATTGGTTTGCCTGTCTTCTCATTCTTCTCACTTAACCACTCATCCACCAAGTGCTGAAAAGAAAAGGGGAAAAGTCAGCATAGCATGTTTGGGTTGGTCCAAAGTACAGCAGTAATGAAGGCACTGCTCTAGTGTATTACCTCAGTCACTGTTTTCCAATTTCTTTTGGTTCAATGTGCTGGTATAGATCTCTACAGCCCTCAATATCATTCCTTGATCCAGGACCCCTGAATGACGTCCTCCTACAGTGAAATTCCCAAACACTTAGGTCACTGTTAAGAGGTCCTTCTCTGTGTTTCCCCATATAATGGGGCAAAGAAGAAACAAGAGACTTCTGTATGCCTCCTATATTCATATCCTATTCTTCCTCAGATCAAATAATCAGAATCTTCAGGGAATAAGTTTGCTGAATGAAAGAACTGTGGGCTAGGATTGGGATACGTACCATGGCTGAAGATGTACCACAGAGAAAGAGAAAAACTAGAGTTCTCTTATGTCCTAAAGAGAGCTGCTGGTGGTTGGAGTGAACATTACTGGTCCATCACAGTGTAAGGCAGCTTCCTCTGCTCCTAAAACCCACTATATATGCATGTGGGATCTGCAATGGGCTGAACTGAGCTTAGTGCAAACTGGCTATGGGAACTGCTCCTACATTCAAAGAGAGCAAGCCAAATCTTGACTTGAGCAACTTAATGTGCACGACCTCATTATGGTTGTGTTGTTACCTTTTGTGTATCCTGATTATTTCTTATCCATCTGACAGTGAGGACTACTACCTCCCTCTATGGGTGAGTTACCAACCTGCTCTTTTTTGAGAAGAGGGATTTTTCTAAGGTGAGGTTTGGTCCCAAAAGAGAACTGATAATAACCATGCTTCCCCCTTACATCTAGCATCAGGAAAGACACAGTTAAGTTTAGAAATGTGCATACCTTTTTTGTTTTAGGATATTTAGTAGGGCATTTATTAAGTGCTGGGGCTTCTGGTTCAGGAACTATTTCAGGAACAGCTGTCTCTGTTTCAGGCTCAGCTGCAGGTACAGCATTTTCAGGCTCATTGTGCTGTGAACTAACTTCCACATCAGGAGAAGATGGCTGGATATCTGAACACATGCTAACAGTTCTATGCCGTCTCCGCTGCTGTCCAATGTGAGTTCTGCTCCGAGAGAAACTTTTTCTCTGCTTTGCTCTATTGACTTTGGCAGGGATTGGCTTAGTGGCAGTTTCTTCTTTTGCTGGTTCCTGGTACAATATATTAAAATCACAACAATCTGAATAAATCTACATTTCTGTATATAGTATTCACATCCAATATCAGTATTTTTAGCACTGCCACATCAGTATCTCTTAAGGACATCCTTATTTTAATGGCAGGAAATTTTGAGAGTACACTGTTAGAAGCAAGTTTTAAAAGTCTCCTCTGTTGGGTCAGCATGAAGCTTCATGAAATTGAATTAACCTGCTCAGTATCTTAAGCCCTAAATATATAATGCCAGTAGAACACTGTCATATTAGCCAGCCAAAATTAAGAGAAGACAAAATACAGTTCTAGAAATATACTCTTTCAAATCAGCTATAACAGAATAAAAGCACATGCAAATACCTGAACAAATTCTGTGTCATTGATGATCTGTGTATCCCTGCATTCTGATTTAATTTCAGTTTTAGCTGTACTGATTCTTTCCAAAGCCTGTTCTCTTCTTTTTTCTCTTTTTTCTAGTCTGGCAAAAGCTTGAAGAATAGCTTCCATTTTCCGTTCTTCTCTAGTCTGAAGAATTTAATAACATTTTTAAACAATTTGTACCCAAGAGACAATGAGATTAAATATTTAAAAAGTATTAATGTTCAAATCGTTTCTGTAAAATTCAAATTCAGCAAAACAGATTATAAAATTGGTGTCATTACAGTAATACTAGTGTTCAGCATTCAGGAATGTTATTGTGTTTTGAAGCTGGAATAAAAGAAAAGTAAGTGGTGCCTCAACCATTTCAAGTTGCAACCAGCTCCAGCCGCAAAATTTAGCTTCAACTTGGGGAGCTTTGAGTTGCGACCGGAAAAAGGCAGGGGGAAAAGGCGGGGTATTCAAATTTGCTAACTGTTGGTAGGCAAAGAGGCTGCTTCTTTGTAGCTCTTTTGCCCCAACAGTTAGAGTGTGTCGTTGGAGGAGGCTTCGGATTGCCTGCGGCTGCTTTCTGCTCCTAAGTACATTTACTTTGTTTTGCAGGGTGGGTTTGGTGGGGAGTCAGTACACTGTGCTGTGATGCTTTTTGTGTTTTTGTGTGTTTTCTCGCAGCCCCATCGTGTTCCGGCAGGGCTGGTTGTGGTGTTTTTTTTTTTGTTTGGGTATTTTTTGGGGCTTGCATTGGTTTTTTAAAATTTATTTTTGGGTTTTTTGTTTAAAAAAATTCCGGCCTCAAAGCGTTCCTATGGGACTTGCAGTGGTTTTTTTTTTAATTTTAGGTTTTTTATTCTGGAACAGATTAATCGAGTGCCAATGCATTCCTATGGGAAATGGTGCTTTGACTTACAACCATTTCGAGTTACACCCATCTTCTGGAACGGATTATGGCTGTAAGTCAAGGCACCACTGTAAATACAGTGCACTTGCCAAAAAGCAGCAGTGATGAGAATCTATTAGTACAATCACTGTATCTAATAATAACTTACAATCGATTCCATAAAAGAAAGAGGAGTGTTTACTAGAATTTAAATAAAAGTTCTTTATGTGAGTTCAATTACAATAATTTTTTTCTCAAAAGGTGGTCATATGTTTTGTATACTTCTCAATGAAAAGTTTAAAAAGAATCTGTCATATTCAATTTTTAAATCAATTTAGTTATTTTCACAATTAGAGAACTAATTTGAACTCGCTGAAATGTAACAATGGCTTGTGATAGTTAAAAAAATACCTTTTTCTGCGGATGTAAACAATACATTTTTAAGGAACTATAATTCAAGATTAATTGCTAATTGACTTTTTATCTCATAGAACAAAATACACTCAGATTCCGCTTAGTGCACAAGGTGCTGTGCAGGACACTGAAATTCAGACTTCTCAGAGCAGAGATAATCAGCTTTGTTCAGTCTGAGAGCCACATGGACTGCTAAAAACGTGGGGAGAAAAAGAATTGTCAAAAGTTCAATTCCAGTTTTGAAAAAGTGGCAATTTTGGTGTTATGCATGGGGGCACTGCAACAGGTGTAAAAGATGGATTTAGTAATTCACCTTTTTTACTGGGGGAAACCTTTTTTGGGGGGCAGCAGACTGAGGGATCGTCATGTGGAGAGGAAAAATAGCTTTGGGGTGCTCCATATAGTCTTGCAGCTGCACTCTGCCGACTCCAGTCTCTCTACTGCAAAATGCATTAATTTAATCTTGATGGGCAACCACTCTGGATGGTAACCATGCATAAGATGCCTAGTCAATGTCAACTCCCACTGTCTCTCCAAACTAGTAGAAAGCGATGTGTGAAGCTAAGCAACTTCTTAGGGCATTGGCTGTTTTTGCTGATTCTGAACATTGAATTCTTTGTCACCTCATAAAATTCCTGACAATCTTATTATCTTATTTAAGCATAATCTCCTGTGCAAAGCACAATACTCCATCCACTTAGTATTTTTGAACTACTACGTCTAAGAATGAACAGAATTTTATCAGAATTTTATCTGAACACTTAAACAGAAAGCCGAGGGTAGGGTGGGGGCTTAACATGCAATTTGTGCACTGCCATCTTTGCATACACAGATTTAATTCTAATTAGTTTTCAAGGTAACTGGTCAGGCTTTTATTATTGTGAACAGAAGCAACAAAGTGAAGTAAATTATTATTGAGTTACCAGGGATTTTTCAAGTTATGAGATGCAATGGTGCATATCCCTGGGAGAGAAGATATTAATTACACCATAATGATTTAAACAAAATTTCCACTGTAACTTGGGGTCACTCATGAACCTGCCAAAGGCTTAAATCCTGCTGAAGTGGTTGAACATAAAGTTATGAATGCAGAATTGTTACACCCAGGCAGTCCACATTGGGCAATCTGACTGATCCATAGCACGACTATCACCAGCATGTCCACTTCCAGTTATCACTTCCACCTTGGCACGATTTTTCCTACTTCTGAGTTATGAACATGAAGCTGTGCAATGGGATTGTAGCCAAAATATTTTAGATAGTTTTACGGTGATAGAACATTAAACAATTCCAACTGGCTTTATGGAATTTGTCTTCCGGATTCTAATACACCGCTCCTACTCCTTGCTGCAAAAGACTGAAACCTTGGAGATAAGCTTCCTTAAAACCATTCATTCTTCCACTGGCTACATCACAAGAGATGTGGTCCCCAACTCCTTATAATTGTCAACACCATTTTCCAAGCAAACACACCTCTTCTACTCACAACTCCTTCTCTCTCTCTCTCTCTCTCTCTCACACACACACACACACACACACACACACACACCCCTTCCTAGTTTTCAATTTTCTTCCTCCTCTCTGATCAATAAATACAGTATCTATAGTTAACAAAAAATATATTTTAGAATGTTCATGCCAGGGTTCATGGCTTTCTATCCATATAGCAAAGCTAACCCCTGAAACTCCACCTTGGCCACCTGGATCCATAACACAAAACCTGTACACAAGACATCTTCCCACAGAGTGCACTACAAAATGTAATTCCTCTTCAGCTTCACACTGAGGGAACAAATGATCAGAGAACATTTTCCAAGAGGTTTCAGCATGCATTCCCTACATTATATGAATCAGCTGAACATCCAAGACCTGTGAACTGCAAATATTACCAGAGTGGTAATTATTGATTTCTGGGACTAATAAATTTGGTCATATATCCCTAGTCTTGGTGACATTTCCATGCTAAATTCCAAGGTTCTGACTTATAAAGCCCTTAATAGTTTAGGACCTTGATAACTTGCAATGTCTCTCTCAGAAATTAGCTATCTGTTTCACCTGCTAACAAGGGATCACAGCTTTTTAGTAGTGGACCCCAATCTTTAGAATAAGTTACCAAAAGAGATACACCAGACTCCTTCCCTCTTGATGTTCAGGAAACTGGTGAAAACAGAACTATACAAAGCAGATTTGAATAACTGACCCCTAGATGTTGTTAATATTAACTGTATTTTTCTTCGTTTTGTATGAATTTTAGTTCTACTGTATACTTATGGACTGTCATATTGAATCTTGTGGGATTTTAAGTTTTAATCTGTCAACCACCCAGAGTAATGCTTATGGTAATGGGGAGGAACATAAATCAAATAAATAAATAGATGAGATAATTTTTGTCACCAGTCACACTTTGAAATCCTATCAGGCTGTGAAGTCGAAATCTTTTAGATTTTGGGAAGATGAGTCTCTTCCTACAGTTATGCTTTTGAGTTAGATCTTTCACTATCTTTTTCTAAGTAACTGGTTCTTATTTTTCTACCCCACAATATTTGTATCACCAGGGCTGAGTGCTTCCAAAAATTAATCTCTGCTCTCTAACTTACACTGATGGTAGGAGAATGATATCCCCATGTATAAAAGACAAAGGGCCTTTTCGGCAGCTGCCCCCAGACTATGGAATGCCCTCCCAACTGAAATTTGTCTGGCGCCAACGTTGATGACATTTTGGCGCCAGGTCAAAGCCTTCCTGTTTCAGAAGGCTTTTAATTGAAATAACATCAACTGTGGGTCCTGATGGCAATTAATTATTTTATCTTTTATTGTATTTTAATTGTAGTAAGCCACCCAGAGACCTTTGGGTAGAGTGGGCGGCATATAAGTTAAATAAATAAATAAATAAATAGATAGATAGATAGATAGATAGATAGATAGATAGATAGATAGATAGATAGATAGATAGATAGATAGATAGATAGATAGATAGATAGATAGATAGATAGATAGATAGATAGATAGATAGAGGAACATCCCATGGTAGCTGCCAACATAATTTTTTCCTACATGGGGAAAGGACATCCTTACAGCGAGACTTAACCAAGCTAGCAGTCCGAGGGTGGGAATTATTGGTGTTGGTTAATGGGAAGAATGCAGGAGTCAAAGGAAATTTCCCTGCTGGGAAAGCAGCTGTTGCAAGATTCTCTGCCCACAGATGGCCTATGGTCCAACCTATAGCAGCTACTGAATGAATACTTAGCAGATCAGGTGGCAGCCCTGCAGATGTTGAGTGGAGCTATGATATTAAATGCCATAAATGGACACCTTCCCCATATTTCTAGCTTAAAATGAGATTAGCAGAGCCTCAGAAAATTGGAGTTCTCTGGCCTTCTTCAGGTGAATTTTGCTGCCCCTCTTATATCTTAAGGTTCATCACTCCTTTTTCAGTAGGGTGAAAACAAAAAGAGGGTAGAATAATATTTTAGCCTCTATGGCATGTAGAACTGACTTTTGAAATAAAAGACAGGTCTAGCTAGAAGATAATTGGCTCTGAATCATGAAGGATTTAGACCCGGTGGAAGAAAGCACTCTGTTTAGATACTCTCCCAGAGGAAATAATAGCTGTTAGAAAAAGTACTTTCCGAGACATATGTTTCAGACAGAACTTCTTTAGGGGCTTAAAGGGAGTTTTATTAAGGGCTCTTCTATGTACAACATGTTGAGATTGGAGCGATAGCCAACCCACACTTTAATTGTGTATAAAGTGAGATATTGTTGTTGGAAGTTTAAAACTGTCACCAGGGCTGCTACTAGTCCCTTAAAACAGCGGTCCTCAAACTTTTTGGGGCCACAGACTGGCTGGGGGAGCGAGCTGCATGTGTGGGGGGCATGATGCCCACCACGCATGACATGCCCACCATGAGCGCAACACACACACACCACATGTGTGTGTGGGTTGGGTGGAGATCCATATCCACGGCCCAGTTCCGGCAAGCCCATGGCCCAGCACTGGGCCGCGGACCGGGGGTTGACGACTCCTGCCTTAAAACAATGATTTCTGTGCTTGCTTGCTTTTCTGTACTCCAATGACGCTCCGTAGACCCTACTAGTATATTCCTCATAAGAAGCCTGCCTGATGGTAACCATCTGCTCAGAATTATCACTGGTTCCACTCCAGATCTGTATGATATAATGATCCCAGGCTGAGGTCATTGAATGTGGAAAGGGTCTATTCAGTGCAGGTTGTGTCCTGGCAGCTCAACCAACTTGCTTTGGTATTCAATACACCGTGTATGTGTTCCACTTCAAGAAAGAGATGGGCCACTGCACATAGTAGCTGGGAATATGTTTCCCCCATCAGAGAGCAGGATCTTGTGCCTCCTTTGCAAATGTTGTGAGCTTTGGCAGTTACATTGTCTGTATGAATCAGAAGTTCTGATTCCTAATGTCTTGTCACCCTGCAAGAGGTCATGCAGCTAAGGAAAGATATGTACAGTATTTACTGCTTTCTGGGGTGTGCTACAAGCACCACCATTAGTTTATCTCTCCTTGAGAGAGGAGGATAGGCTGAAGGGTAAAGCCTCATGCTGGAGGTGCTTCCCCATGTAAGCAAACTGAAGGTAGTGGTGGTGAAAAGGGTGAAGAGACATGACAGACTCTAGTGATTCTCCAGAAAGTTTGGATCCTCCAGTGAGGGTGAAGGTCCAATTATTTTCAGTGCTGACATCCACTTGCCAGAGCTTGAGACACATGTGTCTGCAGATTGGAATATCAGTTACCCGAGCTCTTGTGCAAAATTGGGTTGAATTTAAGGTGCCCCTGGCAATGAAGGCCATGGCCCTGACAATTAATCCCCACCTGAGTTTTTCAAATATTTAATAGTTTTAAAAATATAGACCACAGGGGAGAAAAACAACCTTGTCATTGCTAGCTTGTCTACATATCTTTCAATTTGTGTAAGACAAAGACAACCTTAACACATGATGGGTAAAAATTAAAATAAACCCAAACTAAAAATAAAAGATGATGGAAAATCAAAAAAGGTTCTGTTTAAAAAACACACATCTTTCTGGAAGAGGGATTTTGGGTGAAACAGGGTGCTACCCCCAATACAGGATCTTCAACTGTGGAATGTATAGAAATACGGAAGGATCAGAGACATAGATGAGCTAGAGCAGACTATTATGTGCAGAGCAGAGGTAGAAGTTAAGGTAGAAAAGAGATATGAAAATGGAAAGAACATAAAGACACTCTGAGGATTAATGAAAAAATGTGGAACTGGTACGGAAGATTACATGGAGCATGTATAGATTTAAGAGAAACTAGAGCATGTTCACAGCATAAGAAAACTGAATTTAGTAATATGTTCTGAATAGATGGTAACAGGAAGTTAGGGTGATAGCTAACACGAGTTACAGCAATCATTCTGCAAAGAGCAGTCTTGTGCAGCTTCAGCCAGACAATGGATTACAAAGCAACTGCAAAAAGAAAACACAAGTATTTGGCACCTGTCAAATACTTGGAGACAAGTGTCTTCAAGGAGAGGTGCAACACAAGGGAGGAAAGAGTTTGGATGGAAAGGCAGGAATCTCTATCTTTCTAATGTCCAAAACAATGAGGTGGAAGGGTTCATGAGAGAGGTAAATATACAGTATGAGGTAGATTGTAGATAGGAAATACAGGGAGATTCGGAAATTTTGAACCACCAAGAAGTAATGCATGGAATGAATTTCTCAGGAAGGAGACAAGAAAAGCAATATGCTCAAGGAGCAAAACTTATGGGGAACTAATGCTGAAGGCAAGGAGATTGCAGATGAAGGATGGACAGGAGTGGGAGGGGGGATTAACAATACAATTTGCAACTGCATATAGGTGCAGGTGAGGGACAGAATGAAAAGATTTAGCAGACAAAGAAGCTATCAAGCAGCTATCACATCTCAGTTAACTCTTTTAAGTCCATGATGGCTTTTAACAATTTGCCTAAATTTCCTCTACAGCTCAGTGCCCTTTGCAACACCTGATTACGTCAAGATTCCTCCACCACTTTTGACTTGCAGAAATATGTGATATTTCTTCTCACTGTCTGATGTATCTAAGCCACTGCTTTAAGTTCTATATTTCACATCAAAGTAAGCACAGCACATTAAACATGTCTATGTACCTTGCTTAGTTTTTTACAATTATCCATCAAACATCTGGCTCATGTTTTTCAATAATAATTGTCTTTATAAAGAAGAGTATTCCCTGGCTTGGCCTTTAGAAATGAATTAAGTTGAACAAAAAACTATGAAAATGTTGAGATCTTTTATTTTATAGCTAACTAATCAAGATTAATTGCAATTATAAAGATCAAGATGTAAAAAGTGTTTTCTTTGATCTGCAACAATACACCAGAAATACAATATAATTATTAAGTAAACTCCCAAGAAAACAACACACACACAATGATCAAACATTTACAATCAAGCAAAAAATGAACACATTCACTCACTCACAGAAATTTCAGATATGGTCAGCATGTATCAAGGAGCAGATTTTAAATATTCTCAAATGCTAGATATCTAGGAGAGGCAGCAACGATCAGCATGGGAAGAGCAGCTGTCACCAAACTTTAGTGACAGCTTTAAGCAGCTACTAGCTTCCCAACTTACCATCTTCCTTTTCCTTTCTGCAATCTGCTCCTCTGATTCCATTTCTACTTCATTGCTAATAGGAGTTTTTTCTTCTATATCATCAATAATATCTGGCTCCTGAAAGATGGAAATGACTGCTTTACAGAAGCTCTACTACTGCTGCTGCATCTGCTGCTATGACCCAGGGAATTCTAAATACTAGTACTGCAATCCTATACACTTACCTGGGAGTAAGTCCCACTGAATTCAATATGACTTACTTCAGAGGAGGCAGGCACAGGATTGCATTGTAAGAAGGATTACACCCGTCCTACAAGAGCAGCTAAACCAATTCACAGGCTAAAGAATCTTTTCTACTCCAAATATGTTTGGTCTGAACAGATTGCAAGCTAATATAGTCAGATTCAACACAAATGTCCAGTATGTTGAATGTTCATCTATTAAGCATTCAAAAATACATAAATAAATAATAAAATTTAAAAAAAATTAAGAGAAACATAGAAGCAAGGAACTTAAAACTATCTTTCTCTTTCTAGGGAGTTTCCCTCTAAATATGGAAGAATATTTTACTTCATGTAGGCTACTTTTAGCAAACCACCTGGGAAATAAAACATTCACATAATGTTGCTAAACTACTAATCAGTAATCTTGCCACTTCTGCGTGACTTCAGTAATATTGCAATCCTATGCATGTCTACTGAGAAGTATATTTTATTGAATTCAACTAGCTTACTCTCCAGTAAGTATATAGGATTTCACTGTTATATGTATAAAATTGTCTACTTAGAAATGATAAAATACACAGAGCACAGTTAATAAGATTCGCAATTCTATACTTTACACTAGCCAAAGAGCCAAGAAGAAATAATGTTATCTATTTAAGGCTTTATCTATAAACACAGGATTCAATGTGAGGAGTGTTACTCTGAAAAACAAATCTTCAGTCCTACGGAGACAATCCATACACACACTATATATTTTAAGGCCGCACAGAATGGTATAAAATATTATCTCTGTAAAAATTCTGCTAATATCGTGCCAGTTTCCAAGAGGTTCCAAAACTTCAAATAAATAAACATAAAACAAACAAGATAGTACCACCACAAGATCACATTTTGGCCAGGCCCCACATTATGTTGTGGACTCTAAATTAGTAGTAGTATATATTTGGATACAAACTACAACTTCACATCTACTGCTCATTTCTATGCTCCCTGAATTATTTTAATCAGCAACTTTAAATTAAAAGTGCAAGAAGGATTAGATATATGTTGGAGATCTAGAGACACTGTATGAAAGCCACCTAAATACTGTAAAATTATTATGCCACAATGGAAAAATGATGACAAGACTTTTTATTCTTGCATGCAGATACTGTACATCCTTACTTAAATAATAGTATCATAAACACACATGTCTGTGCAGATCAGTGTCTGTAGGAATCACATGCTGTGCCTTGTAAGATGAGTGGAAAAGCAAACAATGCCTTAGATAACTCACATGTGCCCATCCAAGACAATTAATTACAAGCAATGCTGCCTGAAATCCATATATTCACCATTTACCACCCTGGCAACATTTGAACACAAAAGCAAGCCAGGACTCTGAAAATTTCTGGCTTCCCGTGAATTGGGTGCAAATAGTACTAAGTGTCCTGTTTGCTTTTACAGTACTTGGCCTCTACAGACCGGAAAAGGAAAAGCAAGGATGGATAATTTTCAGAAATCAGGAGGTCACCCAAATTCATCCTTAAACTGTAGACAGCTGTGTCTGCTCCCACAACCTCCGAACTCTTCCTCTAATGGCCAAAACCACATTTTTTAAATAAAAAATCCAGTTTTATGCAGAGGTGCAAGAATTATCTAAAAATAATTAATTAAAATAGTCATTTTTAGAATTAAAAACTGATCTATCGGCATACTGGGGACCACAGCAGGTCTCAGGAACAACACTTTTGTCCCATGCGATTCTGCAGCCAATATAAGCAAGTCAGCATCCTGATTAATTCATCCATAAATAAAAATGTTTTAGTGGTGCAAAATGCTTTTGTTAGACAAAACAAAACTCTGGCTTGCAAGAGTGACATACGTAGTAACATTTTCCCATTCTTGGTTAGCTTAGCTTGGAAACGGAAAACACTTCCCCTGCCAGACTTCTTGTACACTATAGCAAACCCCCAAAACTAGAGAGAAAGAGACTGGAGCTCCATTTTGGATTCATATTAAAATCTTTGGAGTTTGGGAGGCACCTTCTTTTGATGAAGAACTGCCACTCCCAGGAGACTCTAGGGCAGGCTTGTCCAACCTGCAGCCCATGGGCCACATGCAGCCCAGATCGGCTCATAATGAGGCCCAGTGCAATTTTTTATTTTTAAAGAAATTCCAAAGTTTCAAGTTACACTGCCGCCGCTTGCGGCTCGGGCACGTCACAATGGTAGGGGGGAGAGAGGGAAGGAAGAAAGGAGTGGGAGAGGAGGGGAGCTGTATGACTGGCATTGTGCTGTCCCCGTCAATAGGTGGACCCCCTCCCGACCCCATAAAGCCACCGGAGTCTAAGATGGCAGCCTCTGCTGTCTGAGATAGCAGCTGCCAGTAAGCGCGCTTGAAGCAGGGCTGCGGAGGACGGCTAGGGCTGCCCCCCATGTGGCCCAAACCAAATTATGTGCGGCCCAAACCAAATTTTCATCTTCTAATGTGGCCCAGGGAAGGTGAAAGGTTGGACACCCCTGCTCTAGGGCAATGGATTCTCCTTTTTTTACTGTAAACTTCTTCCAGTAGGGTGAAGAAACTATAGGGAGGAGCCTCTCAAACAGATGAGTAGGCATTTATTTCCTATACCTGGTTTAATGTCTCTTGTTGGAAAAAGGATTAGAGATGGGCATGAATCTGGAACATTGGATTGTGTACTGGATCACTGTATTGGCATCAAAGGTGCTGCACGGTCACATCTCCCATCCCCCCAGCCAGACACCCCCACTCACCATCGCACACTCTGCTCTTCCTCCTCTTCTTCAATCATTTCACCAGTCATGGCAGGGGCAAGGGCTTCTCTTCTTAGCCTCCTCTAGCAGCTAACCACTCAAATACAGTGCTGCAGGAATCCTTGCCCTGCCTCCTCATCTGAGTGGGCAGTTGCTGGAGGAGGCGGAGAAAAGAAGGCTATGTTCCTGCGGCTGGTGAAAATACCAAAGAGGAGGAGGAGGAGGAGTGGAGCATGCACCAGCAGGTGACTGGGGAAATCTGGCCAGGTTTTGGGTGGGGGACAGGACCACACAGCGCCTATGGCGCTGGTATGATGATCCAGCATGATCTAGATTCATGCCCATCTCTAAAGAGGACCTGAGGAGGAAAAAACAGGAACATAGTTCACCCATGATTAATCTAGAATTCTGGCTTTCTATTGTATTCAAATACAAACATTATTTTTATTTATTACTCTCCATGCCTTGATAATATTTGACCTGTGTTCAACATATGCTGATCAACAGATCACTATAACATATACACAAGTCATCTATTTTTCCAATTATCATAGAAACACTTTATAATGTTCGAGATGGAATCTTAAATATGTGATTCTATAATTTGAAAAAATGTGCTGGTTTTAAAAGTTGTCAAATGGAAGCCCTCTTCACCAGAGCTATGAAAAACTATTTACAGTTATTCATATAACCATCTTCCATCTCAGAACACCCTCGACTCGAGTGCATCAGGAACAATTGGTTTCATTACCTTCAGCCCTTCGAATAACATTGGATGTATAACCACATACAGTGGTGCCTCGCTTAACGGGCGCCCCGTTTAACGACGAATCCACATAGCGATGGCTTTTTTGCAATCACTTTTGCGATCACATTGCGATGTTGCCTATGGGGAAAAATCGCTTTGCAATTTTTCCCCATAGCCCCATTTTCCCCCAGCTGACTGGCAATGGCTTCGGAAGGACCACGGTGGAGGGTTCCCCCGCGGTCTTTCGGAAGCTCCTGCCGCTCAGCTGCCGGCGGGGGCTTCGGAAGGACCGCGGTGGAGGGTTCCCTTGCGGTCCTTCGGAAGCTCCCGCCGCTCAGCTGGGCGAAAATGCCGGCGGGGGCTTCGGAAGGACCGCGGGGGAGCCCTCCCCCACGGTCCTCCCAAAGGCCCCATTTTCGTAAAGCTGATTGGCAGTTCCAAAATGGCTGCCTGCTGTGTTGCCTCGCTTTAGAGGCACCAAAAATGGCCGCCCCTATGGAGGATCTTCGCATAACGGTGAGTTTCCCCCCATAGGAACGCATTAAACAGGGTTAATGCGTTCCTATGGGGTTTTTTGCCCTGTATAGCGACGAATCCAGATAGCGACGATTTATCTGGAACGGATTATCGTCGCTATGCAGGGCACCACTGTATAAAAGGAACTTGCACTACTGGATTAAACTCTGGATTCCAGTTCAGTGTCAACTCTTATGCCCAATGAGCACAGTGATGATGTACTCTGACATCTTACAGCCATCTGTCATCCAAAAGTAACACAAACCTTTAGGCAGAACTGATTCCAATATCATCTTTATGTAATACAGAACTGCATCTACTGATAATGTGCTTAAAATCTTCTTAACAGACACAGGACAGATTAAGAAAAATATATGTTTCAAGAAAACTGAATGAACATCTAAAAAAGCATGTATATTAAAATACTTTACATAAATACATCAATTCTTATCCTTTAGATATGTAGGGTATGCACCACATTTTATGATTAGTACTAAACTATGATCCTAGGACCCTGAGGCACAGCATGATGATCTTACACCAGTGATCTGCAAAAATATTCAAACAAAACATTTTTATGCATACGTACTGTTGTAATTCAACAATAATACCTGATTAGATGAGACGAAGTACCTTAAATTTCAAATGAATCCCACCCTCTCTGGCCAACAGTTTCTTGTAGCTGCAGAACTCAAAACTGTACACATGCAGATCAACCCATGTCTCATATACCCTTGGAGCTGCACACTCTGATCTAAGTGAATTGGGATGCAGTGCAGGAGCTCTGTAAGAGCTGATAGCCAGATATGTGTGCATTTATTTAACTGTAGACTATGGTACAATACCTGATTATTTGAGATTGACAGCCGAAGGGGAGAAAGCTTCCTCTGTCTGTTGTCTGGAAACTTTGCTTTGGTGGCTGCTCCTTCACAATCCAAGGTTATGTTCTGGTTTTGACTCTCCTTCTCTTTTGAAGCATCCCTCTCCTTTTTGCCCTTTTTTCTTCTAGTTTCATATCCTGTATTTATGTTTTCTGTAGGTTCGGAAGCTCGCTTAAGAATTGGGCATTCAGGATTTTCTTTGAGGCAAGCACAATCCACTTTGTATTTGCTTTAAAAAAAGAGTTAAATGTGAAAAACTGTCTAATATTCTTTGTCCACTTTGGTCCTACACTGTATTAATTTCTATAATGTTCAACAGGACTGCAGTCCCAATTAATCTCCATTGAACAAATTTCTGTTTTAAGTATCAACTCATTATCAAATCAAATTCTCAATCTGGCAGTTATGCCAATAACCATGGCATAAAATCAAGAAAATCTGTGTAATAAGTTCCATGTGCCCTAATGGGCTTTGCACTCATACTATCAAACAGCAGTTATCTATCGTCCAGATATGCAACCGAAGGAAACCACAATGTTAGTTTATGTTATGACCTTTAGCTCCACTTCCGGAAATTCTTCATGCAGTACTTTTTACAGACATAAGCCCTAGCCAGATACTGTAATTCAAAGGTAGATGTGCCACAGCAACATCAGATTTTAGTAACACTTCTGAAAAAAAAAAGACTGTCATAATTACTACCTTTTAGTGGCAACCTAAGACATCTTTAAAAATATAAATGCATGAAGATCACTCGATTGATTGTGAATTTTTCAATAGTATATTTCAAAACAGTACCTGATAGGTAACGTTACTTACCAATTTCCATAATCAAAATCAAATGCAATAGTTATTTCTGTTCCCTTGGGAATGTTTTCAGTGGAAAAGATGTAAAGATGAATAGTCCCATCTTCAATAGCATGCCTAACCTAAACGAAGACAAACATCATATCAATTTTAAAAGCAACTAGACTTTAGCCAGATAATATTATTGGAGGAAGGTCTATATCCAGAAATAGCAAATATTTCTTTATTCATTTATTTGATTTATACCCTGCTCATCTGGTCTATTAAGATTCATTTAGGTAATCTATATTAAAAAAGTACAACCATTTATAATTGAGTAACTTGCAGCATTCCAAAAAGACCAAATTCACTTCCTTTTCTTCAGCCCAAAATGTCACCTTAATTTCACATAAGCAGCAAAGGGGTCTAGAACAATATTTGTATATACAGGACCACCATGCAGCCCCCTGACTAAGGAAGAATACACCCTGAATTTTTATTTCAGCTGATGGGGGGCATTAGCCACATAATCGGTAACAATTTATGTTCCCCTTCTTTCTATTGTCATGTTCACCACTAAACCTGGCCTACACTTTCCATGTGCAAAGGCATTTAGAAAGCAAATGGTTGCATCCCTTTGTTTACCATCACTATATGTCAATAGTCTACGTTTTTAATCATTCATTTGAATAAGTGACACAGGTACAATGTCAACACATTTTAGGAATGAAAAACAGCTCCCTCTCACCGTTTATCTATGGAAACAGCAGGCAAAATCCTGTTAGCACAGTTCTGCCAGTGTAAAATAATTAAGTTAATTCTAAGTTTCCTATCACCCGTTTCAGCTTCTGTGCCTCTCTAGGGCTATCTTTTGACCTGGGGAAGCCTTTGGGAGCACTGGAATGGGGGTGTGTGAGGAGCTTTTAATTGTCAAAAATCACTGTCAGATCATCAGTGGTTCTGCTTCAAGTGGTGACAATCATATTACGTTTTTAAAAACTTTAAAAATATTTCCCTACTCCTCTGCCCAAACACTCCTGAAGGCTTCCCCAGGGGAAAAAAGGGAGCCCAAAGGAGCCTAAGAAGCCCAAATGGGGGATAGGAAGCTTAAAATTAATTTATATCAATTATTTCTGGCAACCTGGTCCAATTTACTCCTGCACGAAGTTAAGCAATAGGATTTTGCCCATTATGTTTCTGAACACTGATACTGCATATATTTCCTGATATGTTGCAATTTATATTCTATGCTGCCAAGTCGAAACCAGCTTATAGATCTTTTCAAGATAAGTGAGATATTTAAGAAATGGTTTTACCAGTTCTATTCCTCCAGTCAGTTTCCATGGCTGGGTGGGGATTCTGCAGAGCCCTAGTCTGTCACTCTACCCATTACACCACACTGGGAATCCTAATGTTACCATTTAATGAGCAACTATTTCCTATTGGTAAACAAATATACATAGCTCACTTGCCTTTAATCTACCTATTTATACAACAAAAGTTTCATGAAAGAAATATTCTAATACCTGCAAATACCTACCTCAGCATTGGGTGTACAGGAACGTCTGATAAACCGAGCTTCATTTCCAAAGGTTCTTGCATCCACACACATTTCTAGCCCATGGAATTTAGAATAGAACAGAACAAAGGGATACGGCCTGAAACAGCAACAACATCACAGACCTTTACATTCAGGTAAGAATGACTTTGCTTTTCAAAAGTTTAGAACATGTGGAAAAATAAAATAGCTAGCTGAGTTTTTGTTTAACAAAGCAGACTTCCATCTGAGTAGCAGGTCTAAAATCTGGCAAGTAATGACGGACTACTTCAAATTAAAAAAAACTGGTTTTTCAGATTCATTCTGCAAATGCAATTGCTTACTGCACTGACATACCATATAATGGTATGGATTTTCTGTTCTTAAGGAACTGCCCCTGCTTAGTCAGGCAGCATGTGCTGTTCAAATATTAAGCCCTACCCAGGCTCAGGTTTTGGGCTTTCTCCACCATCTTTAGAGCCATAATTACAGAGAATTTGCTGAGGAAAATTAACTTCTGCTGCACTTTTAACGAGGTCTCTTAGAAAGTTTTCTAACACACACACACACACACACACACACACGCGCACACACACAGAGTGCACTCATAACATTTATGGTGCTTGTGCTATGATCCCACAGGAAAAATAACACAAGCATAATAAATGTTATGAATGTACTAAGCGTGAGTCATGGAAGCCTTACCTTACTAGAGAATGTACTACCCTGTTTCCCCTAAAATAAGATCTAACCTGAAAATAAGCCCTATTATGATTTTTCAGGATGCTCGTAAATAAGTCCTATTCCAAAAATAAGCCCTAGTTAAGTGAAACCCTGCCCTCCACCATTGTGCAGCAATCAGAAGATGACATGACTGCATTTGAATAAATGTAGATAGTAGTGCGTGGCAAAAATAAAACATCCCCTGAAAATAAGCCCTAATGCATTTTTGGGAGCAAAAATTAATATAAGACCCTGTCGTATTTTCGGGGGAACAGGTTAGTTCCAAAAATAAGCCCTAGTTAAGTGAAACCCTGCCCTCCACCATTGTGCAGCAATCAGAAGATGACATGACTGCATTTGAATAAATGTAGATAGTAGTGCGTGGCAAAAATAAAACATCCCCTGAAAATAAGCCCTAATGCATTTTTGGGAGCAAAAATTAATATAAGACCCTGTCGTATTTTCGGGGAAACAGGTTACTTACTATATGTGGGATTATAACAGAATTTTGCCTTTGGTCGGAGTAACTGTTGACCCCTGTGCTGGTTTTTAAAATTTCCTGCTCACAGCAGCAGTCCTTCTTTGCTTTAAGTCATATGGATTTATTTTTCCTAACTACTATGTTCCTTTTCCTGCAACTACATTTGGTAAGAGGGAGCTTTGCAGCATTGATCTGGGTCATTATGGTTAGGAGGCTTGAACACTGAAAATCTTTATGCCAATAGGGAAACGGGAGTTTGGAGCTCTACTTCACTGTTTATAGTCAACACTTTTGTTTTTTCACTAGCATGTTTTTAAAATAAAACCTGAGTTCATCTTAAATGGAGAGAAAGAGAAAATCAGTACTATTTGTTTATAATACTTCCTCAATGTGCACCACAGCCCTGGATCCCAGTACTAGAGAAAACATGAGATGCAAACAAAACAAACCAGCCTGAGACTTTCAAGTGGAAACTGAATAAGCATGGGTCTGAAGTTCAGCACATGGTGACCTTTATAGGCCACTACTAGCCGGCCATATTCAGATAGATACCAATGAACAGCAAAGGAATGTGTAAATTCCTTTGCTGTTCAATGGTATCCATCTGAATATGGCAGGCTTATATCAGATGTGCTAATCAATGGACCCATACTTATTCAGTTTCTCTATAGGAACCTTTTCTTTATAGCAGGTTACATTATAACAGAGTTATATTAGTGATGCAAGTTGCTGTCTGGGCACAGTCTTTAAGGCTATTCAAAAGAAACCACATTTACATCTCAAATGGTGAAATATGGCAGAAAAGACAAGAATTCCTGTGACACAGTAACAGGTAAAAAAGGAAGAACGGATGAAGTCAGTTAAATGAAGAGACCTTGAACAATGGGTCTAGAGTCAGACTTAACTAAAGACAGAAATACTCTAAGTGTTACAGAAAAACTTAAGAAATATAACAAAGCCTCTGATGTAGATATGCAGAGAAATAATCCAATGAAACCAGCAAAGTGACTAACATTAGCTGTTGGATTTTTGTTTGAAGTCTTTAAAATGTGAACAAAAGAGATTTGTCATAAGTGTAAAGGCCATTAAAATATAATGTTTATCAGAAGCTAAGAGGAAAAAAAGAGTATAGCTGTGGAACTACAGGCAACTGACAACAACATTTTGCAGAGAAGTACCTCTTGAAGAAATATCCATTAGCTTCAAATTGTTCTCTCAGCATGAACTTTCCTCGATATTCTATAATAAGTGCATCTGGAGGCAAGTCTTTGGCAGCTTTTATGATTTTCTTATTTTTTTGAACATAGCTCTAGAAGAAGAAAAGAAGAATTAAGAAATATAATTAAACTGATTGCTTTATTGCTAAAAAGATATATATATACATATATACATACTGTAAAATATGACTTTACAGAACTTGGTAATTTTAAGTGGTGTTCTTACTTTTTAAAATGCACTGACTTCATTCCTTAAAAACCAAATGACTATAATCCAATATTACATTTATGTAGACATCTTAAAATTGTATTCTGGAAAGGGTAACAACGTCAGGTACATAAATTCTCCAAACTGAAAACCAAGACAAGCCTTTCAAAATATATTAGGGAACTCTTTCCTCCAAGATGTCTCAAACCTTTGGTTAAAAAGGTTGAAACTGGGGGAGGGGGGGAGGAACGACAAGACATGAGACATGCAGTCTCTTTCTAATTTGCTAACAAGAGCAAAAGGACAGACGCCAAATAAGATGCATTTTAATGAAATGTCAACATGCTCATTTCTAGGAAAAGGAAACTTTTTGTGCATTTCAATAGCCTCAGGTGGGAATATGCCTTTCTAAGCAAAATCTTACTGTACTCTGACACAACAACTAAGGAACTCACACCTCTTGTAATTGTGTCACTTCTGATCAAAAGAGAATTGGCCTATATCTAGGCGAAGGTCTCTGCAAGCAGGGACATTCCTCCAAGGAGTGCGTCACGTGCGCCATGCTGATGCTAGAGGGAAAGAAGCAAAGATGCTTCTTATTACAAGATCTGAGAAGGTAAGTTTCCTTTGTTTAGTCTCTCTCTCTCTCTCCCAACATTAAATTTACCAAATAGCTTGCAGATTTCTTCCATAGACTGCACAACAGGAAGCTCATGGGAAAATTTTGCAATCTGTTCTTGCTTATAATTGATTCACAAGGAGTCGTTACTTGCGTGTGGGGAAATACTAGACAACCTCTTTGAAAGTGGATTAATTTGGCACTTCTAAGTTGGTACACTGGTAACAACTTTGGTAAAGAGGAACTTTGTAGCTATAGTTTAAGAGGTGCTAATGATAAACTACAAGGACAAACTGAACATAACTATACACTATTGTAATGCTATGGCATTATTTAAGTGTACTGTACTACATACATCACCTTCTCTGCATATTGCACTAACAGGCACAAATAAAGCACTGTCAAAACATGCTAAATATAGAATTAACTGCAGCACTTAACAATGTTAATGGTTTTGGTATATTCTTGACTTGAAAGCAGCACTGTTATGGCTAGAAATATGACTTGATACTACATGTCTGCATGCATAGTGGTTTGTTTGTTGACATGTCAATTAAAGCAGGTTATACACACTGCTTTTTACCTTCGTGGGAATCTCCAACTGAGGAAAAGGTGATACGAAGCACTCAGAAGTATAACAGACTCTTACAAAATGATCTCACCACATATGGCTTCTACCTAGCATGACAAAATCCTGTCTCATTGCTAAGAAAGTTGTGCTGGAACAATTCTCTGGAATTACTATATGTTTCAAAGAAATATTTTGTTTCTTTTGCATTTCATGTGATTTGTGTCTCAAAAATATTTTTTTTAAAAGTAAAGCATTTTTTTCTCTCAATTTTCTTAGATCTGAACCAGGTCTTCCCAGAAACACACTGGGATTGCTTGGCAAAAAGTGATGCTGGCAGGAATTATGGCGTCATGGAAGAATAAGAGCTATTCAAATGAAATCACATCTATGAGTATTTTATTATTTCCTGTTCCTCTGAATGTAATGCTTTGTGGAAAGAACCAGACTACCTTGGCCACAAAGGTGTACACCCCTTTTTATTAGCTTTTAGGTTTGACTAAAATATGTGTCTCATACACACTATTCACCTCTGCAACAGCACATGATATTTGCATCAACAATAAATCAGTAACTTCTTCTGGCAATTTATTTAATAATACATTTTTATAAATATATCTTGTTACATTCAATAATTAAAAACAAATTCATTTTGGATTTTTCCCCTCATACATAAAAATTGGGTTGAAGAGGCAGTAACAACTGAGACAACTGCATCAGAATGCAAGGGGTAAAGTTTCACTGAAGTTAACCAGTGGAAAGGAGTGAAAATTTGATTTCAAGACAATATAGGCATTAAACTGCTTCCCAGGACACAGAAAACAGCACATAACAACAGCAGCCAAAGATAACCAAGGTTATTTTCTGTTGTTTACATGAAATTAACAATTTCAAGGGAAGCTTTTTCAACTTGTCAAAAAGCAAATGAAAAACTGTCAGTTAGTTTTTGGCTGGACCAAATAAACGAACAGCGCCCTAAAGGACATGTCTGCTGAAACAGATTTAGCACTGTATGCTTCTGTCTTATGCATAGGACAACCTTCAAATCCTTTTCTATATATCTTTAGAGGGTCCTTCCAATTAAAGGTGTGACTTTACCAAGACTACTGAGGGAAATTGCTTTTTTGTCTTTAACCTGTATTGCAACATGTGTTTTTTGTTTTAACTTGTAGACAGGAATAACTCAGACTACCAGAAATTGTTGACACTATTTAAATTTAAATTGCAAAAATTTTCCAAAATATTTGCCTACTAAAACTAGATTAATCTGATTATATGTAACATATTTTTTCGTGTATAAAATGACACTTTTTCTAAAAGAATTAGAGGAAAAATTAAGGGTTATTTTACACACAGAAGCCAGCAACAGGAGACAGAGGTGGAGGTGCAGCTGCCCATTGACTGCTGCCTCCGCCATCCGATCGCCCCCTCCAGCGCCACTGCTGGGGCTTACCTCCAGTTCACGTCGCCACCTTGTCCCCTGCCCAAAGGAGATGATCGCTGGAGGAGGTGATCTAGCGGCGGCAGCAGTCAATGGGAATCAGCAAGCCGCGGCCGAGTACGGCTGCTTCTTTGCCTCAGTCTCCGCCTCCTCCTGCTGAGCCCACGAATGGCTGCCCAGTGACTGCTGCCGTCAGATCACCTCCTCCAGTGATTGTCTCCTTCAGGCAGGGGACAAGGTGACGATGTGAGATGGAGGTAAGCCCCGGCAGTCGCACTGGAGGCGACTGGGCGATGGAAGCAGCAGGAGGAGGAGGAGCAGCCATGCTGGGCTGGCCCTCGCGGCTGCCCACTGACTGCTCCTCCGCCTCCAGCAAGGGTAAAAATTAGGGGGTTCCCTTATACATTGGGGGGTGGTCATATATATGGAAAAATACGGCATATATATTTGAGGCTCATTACTGGCATTCTAGTCTTCATTACATGTTGGGACATTCAGAAGTTAAATCTACGAACAAGAAAACTTTCCTGCATTAAAAAAATCTAAATACCTTTAAGAAAAGAGGAAGCTATGACTTTCAATATAGTGAACTATACATTTCTACTCAGGAAAGTGTAAGGTTTTTATTTTGTGTTATGAAATGTGAAACAAATGTTTCTTTCACTATACAATCATTTACCTCAACTGGAGGTTTGAAGGCTGAGTTGCTGGTGATTACTTCTTTTTTGTCATCTCCATTTCCTAATTTCAAAGCAATTCTTTGTGCCTCTCTCTGAACACCTTCACTGTATTGGTTGTTGCTTGCTTCTTCATAACGATCCATCCATGCCTTGATTTTAGTTTCCCATCCAAAGTTTGAACTATCAGAAGGATCAATCTCAGGAGCTGAGCCCTGAAACAGTTAATTATGAAATTAGAACAGCAAGTTGTACTTACTGTGAAGAATCCAGTACATGGATCCAACTAGATATGGTTACAAATTATTGCTTGAGAATTCAGGACCAACACCAAATTTGCTTAGGTCATGACAGGAGGGAGCTCCTTAATTAAAACTACAACTGAGGTCAAGGATTTATTTTTTAAAAATTAACCATCCAAAGCTGGAAGCAACCCACAATGGACGGGAAAGAAACAAAAGAGGCCCTATCCACTGAGGAGGAACTGGACCACAATTCAACTGTTAAAGGGAGTAGCTTGAGATCAAAGAGCCAAGGCTGACAGTGCCCTTGCAAGAGCTATTGACAGGATGCTGGCCTTCTAGGTTCTGGCCTTTCCTAACACTCCCATGAGAAGAGGGATGGAGGGAAAAAAACCATGCAAAATATCAGGCTAGCACCTAGCTTCCCCATCTCTGGACAATTCCCGTGAAAGACTAAAAAATGTGGCACCTAGGTCTCCTGCTATACTGCAGTCCTGCTCAGCTGGTTTGTTTGGACGTTTATACTGCCATATCCACAAACTGCTGAAACATGTGTTTTATGGCTTCTCAGTCCTATTGCCTCCATCCAATTGACACTTTCAGAAGCAGTTCCTTCTTTGGTCCTTAGTATGGATCTTTGCTGTCATATTTTTCATCTTAAGGCAGACCCACTTAGCCAGAATAGTCAATGAAAATGCTCCAAAGACTATACAAGCAGGCTTGAGTATCAGCTCATTAGCTAAGTTGGGGACTGTAATCCTTAGCCCCAAACCATTGTGACTTCTCCTTCAGGAATTCCCCCCCCTTCTGAAAGGCTTATAGTGAAGTACTTAGAATTCAGGTATTTGTTTATTTAACTTGTATATTGCACCAGTTAGTAATAAATATTACTGTGAGCAATTTACATCTACATTGAAACAAAATAAAATAAAATAAAATAATAATTGCAGTAAGAAGCAAACACTGTAAATAAAGCAAACATCAAATAAACCAATTAAAAAACCAAACAACAGTGAACAGGCAATAATATTCAATTATTTTAATATGAAATATGTCTAATTGCTTTGTAATATTATTCTGCATTGTATTTTAGCTCCTTTTGTCTTTCAGATATTTTGAATCCCCTGATTGGAGAAAAGTAGGGTGTAAACAAAATTAATGAATAGCTAGAAGTCCATGGATGATTTATTCTTGTATGAGGAAAATTATGTAAGTCATGGGGGCAAATTGCCATTTACTAACAAGATGCCAGGCTGCACTTTTGGTATCTGCCAATCATGCAGTCCAGCACATGCGCAGGAACTCCAACAGCACCCTGTGAATGAGTGGCAACCCACCACGCAAACCTACATGATTTCCCTTATGCAACTGTAAGGTGATAGTAGGATACTGACCCGTGAATGAAATGAATGTATGCATTAACCAAAGACCAGTTTCGGGGTTTATTTCGGTTCTTTTAAAGGGCAAAAGGAATGGTTGCACTTCTGAACAATCTCTATCTGTGGAAATGGTAACTAT